TATTTTATTATTTTAATTAAAAATTATTATTTTATTTTTATGTATATCAATTTAGTTTTGAACTCAAATTTAAACATATAATTGAATTTAAAATCAAACATAACTCAAACATGATAATTAATTTTATTTTTTATTAAATAAAACTAATCAAACGAATTTAAATAATTTAATTTTTATCTCAAATTAAATTTAAATTTAAAAATTAAACTTTATTTAAATTTTAAAAAAATTTTAAATAACGAAATTTGAATTGAATTCAAACCTATATTTATTACTATATTTAATCAACCCGACTCATTTATCTCCATAAAATAGATTAAGGATTCATTTTGGAGTTACGTGAAAATCCTTTCATTGTTGAATGATTAAATTTGTGAATGTATTTAATAAATTTTTTACCAAATACTTAATTTAATTAAAATGATAAAAAAAAAAAAAAAAACATGTGACGTAAAGATCAGTAGTACAAGTGGAGTAGCCCGTGGATTGGTTGCAGTCGGTCGTCGCAAAAAAAAAAAAAAAAGCTGTGGATTTAATTTAATAATAAAAAAAAAAAAAGCGAAACGTTTCTTGGTAATAACTTGATCTCCACCAAAAACCAACCAAAAAGGGCGAAAATTTCCTTTCCTTTCCCTCTCCTCGTCTTCAATTCTTAAAATTTTTTTTTTGTTCCAAACGTAATAAATAGTCTTTAATTAACAACTACAAACATATTATATATATATTTATATATCTAATTATTATCTGTTTTTTCTTCTTTTATTTTAATTTCATCTGAATAAATTTCATTTTTCATTTTAGGGCCTGCTGTTCAAATCCCTATTTTTTGTTTATATCTTTTAATTTTCAAACCCTAACCCCGCGCGACAGTCCGCACGACAAATTTGATCGGTCAATCGCTTCTCTGCCCTATACAAGGTTTTATTAATCGGATGATTTTATAGATCGTTTTAATTGTTGTTCGGTCCTCTTTTTTTTTTTTGTTTATTCGGTTTATATTCGGGCGGGTATTTGTTCGGTTCGTGAAGGTTGGAAAGGAAATGAGTAACCAAAAGAAAAGGAATTTCCAGATAGAAGCGTTCAAGCACCGGGTCGTGGTGGATCCGAAATACGCAGACAAGACCTGGAACATTCTCGAACATGCAATCCATGAGATTTACAATCATAACGCTAGCGGCCTCAGTTTTGAAGAGCTTTACAGGTTTCCGCTTTTTTTTTTTATTTAAATGTTCAATTAATTTATTTTATTTTACTACGTGATTAGTTATCGCTGCCTAATATGTTATGAATTATTTCCTTTTTTATATGTTTTGGTTACGTCGTTTGTTGCTGTTAATTTGGTAAATAATTTTGGATTATCGAAAACTTTTCATAAATTTATAGAGCAAGTTGAATTAGGGTTTTATCGTGTTTAAATAATTTAAAACTATGAAGAGTTTCTCATCAACAACAACAAACTAAGCTTTATATCTCGTAACTCTGGGTCGGTTGTATGAAAGGCCAAAAAAAAAATTATGTTAGGTCATAGTTTTGAATATTTTTGCACCACTCCTTTTTATAAAAAACAACTATTTCATTTATTTCCTTAACCCTCATATCATTTCTTATCACCTGCATCCACGTCTTTCGTGGTTTATCTCTAGAAGTTTTGGTCTCTCCTAAATCTAGAAGCTTATTTTTCCTAACTGGTGCATGGATGAAGAGTTTCTCATCTGTTTGATTTTATCATACATGGATTTTCAACGCTGTTATATTCAGGTTATGAAGTTATTGAAAATGCTTTTTAAACATGAATATGGAGGTAATCAGCTTGGAGAGATTTAATCAAATTGTTTTAGGGATGGTTTAGTAAATTATATGTTGGGAACAAATGAATTGTCGGTCCCTGGATGATCTTAGTGCCATTAATGTTTTTGTATTGGGCACATGTGGCATATTTGACGATTAAGGTGGACTGTGTTTATGTTGGTGGACTATTGATAGGGATTAGTAATGGGCTGCCATGGTAGTTTTCTATGAAGTTGTAGTTGATCAAATCAAGTAGTTGCACTTGCATCTAGTTTTCTTATTACTTTTGAACCATACATGTTGCTGAGTTTTCAAGATTATCATATGTTAATTATAGAATATGCCAAAGTTTCTTGGTTGGTTGCCATTTTTTTTGTTTTTTTTTTGGATACATGGATTTCATTTTCTTGTTGATATTGGGTTTTTGACATGAATTCAGGAATGCATACAATATGGTTTTGCACAAATTTGGTGAGAAGCTGTACTCTGGACTTGTTACAACTATGACTGCACACCTCAAAGAAATATCAAAATCTATAGAGGCTGCTCAAGGTGATTTTTTTCTTGAAGAGCTGAACAGGAAATGGAATGACCACAACAAGGCCCTGCAAATGATTCGAGACATATTGATGTACATGGACAGGACTTATATTCCAAATACCCGTAAAACCCCCGTTCACGAGCTGGGACTTAACTTGTGGAGGGATAATATTATACATTCCAGCAAAATACAGTCAAGGCTTCTGAGCATGCTTCTTGAACTAGTACATAGAGAGCGAACTGGTGAAGTTATAGATCGTGGGCTGATGAGGAACATAATCAAGATGCTTATGGATTTGGGTTCTTCTGTTTACCAGGAGGATTTTGAAAAGCCATTTCTTGAGGTTTCTGCTGAGTTTTACAGGGGCGAATCTCAGAAATTCATTGAGTGCTGTGATTGTGGGGACTATCTAAAGAAAGCGGAGATACGTCTAAATGAAGAAATTGACAGAGTTACCCACTACTTGGATGTCAAGAGTGAAGCCAAGATAACTAATGTGGTGGAGAAGGAGATGATTGCTAACCACATGACGAGACTAGTCCACATGGAGAACTCTGGCTTGGTAAATATGCTTCTTAACGACAAGTATGAAGACTTGGGTAGAATGTATAATTTATTTAAGAGAGTTCCTAACGGTCTCTCAATGATACGAGGTGTGATGACTTCTCACCTCAGGGAAACGGGTAAACAGCTAGTTACTGATGCAGAAAGGTTGAAGGATCCTGTGGAATTTGTCCAGCGGCTGTTGGATGAAAGGGACAAATATGATAATATCATTAGCCTAGCATTTAGCAATGACAAGACATTCCAGAATGCTCTGAACTCCTCTTTTGAATATTTCATTAATTTGAATCCCCGTTCTCCTGAGTTCATTTCATTATTTGTGGATGACAAGCTTCGTAAAGGTTTGAAAGGAGTCAGTGAGGAGGATGTTGAGATAATTCTTGACAAAGTTATGATGTTATTCCGCTACCTGCAGGAGAAGGATGTGTTTGAAAAGTACTACAAACAGCACTTAGCTAAGCGGCTCTTGTCAGGCAAAACCGCATCTGATGATGCAGAGAGAAGTCTGATAGTCAAGCTTAAGACGGAATGTGGATATCAATTTACTTCGAAGTTAGAAGGCATGTTTACCGACATGAAGACCTCCCAGGACACAACACAAGGGTTTTATGCAAGCCATCCTGAGCTAGCGGATGGACCTACCCTAGTTGTTCAGGTTCTAACAACAGGGTCTTGGCCCACCCAGCCTAGTATTACTTGCAACCTGCCTGCTGAAGTGTCAGCACTGTGTGAGAAGTTTCGGTCATATTATCTTGGAACCCATACTGGTCGGAGATTGTCCTGGCATACTAACATGGGGACAGCTGATATAAAAGCAATTTTTGGGAAAGGTCAGAAGCATGAGTTGAATGTTTCAACTTACCAGATGTGTGTATTGATGCTTTTTAACAATGCTGATAGGCTTAGCTACAAGGAGATTGAACAAGCTACTGGGATTCCTGCTTCAGACTTGAAAAGGTGCTTGCAATCGATGGCATGTGTAAAGGGAAAGAACGTTCTTAGAAAAGAACCCATGAGTAAAGACATTGGTGAGGATGATGCCTTTTTTGTCAACGATAAGTTCACAAGCAAATTCTACAAAGTGAAGATAGGAACTGTGGTTGCACAAAAGGAATCAGAACCCGAAAAGCAGGAGACCCGACAAAGAGTAGAGGAGGACAGGAAGCCGCAGATTGAAGCTGCAATAGTTAGGATCATGAAATCAAGGAGGGTGCTGGATCACAACAATATAATAGCTGAGGTTACAAAGCAGTTGCAGTCACGGTTCCTTGCCAATCCAACGGAGATTAAGAAACGGATTGAGTCTCTTATCGAGCGGGATTTCTTGGAAAGGGACAACAATGATAGGAAATTGTATCGGTATCTAGCCTAAAGACACAGCTTCAATAGATCCCCTGTTTCCTTTTGAAATGTCAGTGTTGATCAATGAAATTGTGCCCTAGTTGGTTAGGGAAAATTTGCTTTACATACTATGGAAGCTCCATTTAGTTTGAATGGACATCTATTTGTTTCTGCTTTTCCTTTTTTGTTGCACTGAATATTTTTCTGTTGCCTAAATTATGAATACAATTCATAGTAATCATAAAATTGATTTGAATCGACTCAGTCGTTTTTATATAGTATGGTTTTAGAAAAACACTAAATATATGCAAGTATATACATATATATCAAATTAAACTTGAAAACCCTTATAAATATGTAAGCATTAAAAAAATTTTGGTCAAATATTAAAATCATCAAATTTAACTTAATTTTTATTTGAAAACTATTTTAATTCAATTCAAAATCAACGTAAACTCACTTGCATTGATAATATTTTTTTGATGCAAAACAAATCTTGATTATAAAATATATCAAGAAATTATAAATGTTAAAATTTTATCATCAAATTTATTAAATGTTATTTTTTAAAAATAATTATATAAATTAACTGAATTAAGTCTTGGATTAACATTTTTAAAATTTGATGTTGTAGTAGTATAATTGAATTTGAAATTCAAATTATATTCTACTTGTATTATTGTTATTATCTAAAAATAATAATTTAAATTAGCGTAGCATTTCAATCGTTGATGAATAAAACGTTGCGTTTTTCTTTTAAGGGTTACTCATAACATACAATGATTTTATCATTGGAACGAGGTCGTTTTGGACCATCAATTTTGTTGAGTGAAGTCTTTGGTGAACACTTTGTAAATTGTTCGCTGCTCCGCGAGCAACAGCAGAAGAACGGCTATGGCGACCGAACTCGAAGAACTAATAGACTTCCTCTCTGCCCCCTCTCCTCCAGTAAGTTTCCACCTATCCATCTAAACCCTCTATCTTCCTCCCTATAATTCCCCAAAATTTGATGCAAAACTATCGAAACTAAGTTTTACTTATAGTTAAACTAGATTTCAAGTTCTATTATAAATTTATTTATTTGTCAGCATCCGAACATAGCTAAACATTCAATTTTCGGGTCATTTCATACAAGAAAATCCCATTTCTCATAAAGGGTGGTTGTTGTTTTTAAATTCAGTTGAATTTTGAACTGTACCTTTTTTGCTTTCTAGTACTTATAGTAATATTTATTTATGTGATATGCTTAGGTGAAGAAGGCGGCTGTTGATATTGTGCGGGGATTAACAGGGTCTGAGGATGGGTTGCACTCCCTTTCCAATTATGCCAGCACTGTGCTTCCATCTTTATCTCGGCTTTTGAGTGAGGAAAAGGTAATCATTAGTGCTTGCCAATTATGCAATTCATTGAAAATGTTTGAATCAATTGATACAAGTATCTAAAATTTTATTTCAAGTGCATTTTTCTATGGAGTTGTTCTCTCATTGTACTAATGTTGCAGGAAGTTTCAGAACCAGCTGCTGAAGCTCTCGTGAATCTGTCGCAAAATGCGGAACTGGCTGCTAAGATGGTCGAAATGGGGATGATTAAAGTAGCCATGGATTTGTTGTATAAGCCAGGCTCTAGCATTATGCGGTTGCTGGTTATGCTCCTAGTTAACCTAACACAGTTGGATGATGGTATTTCTTCCTTGCTTCAGGTGCTTTTTCTTTTATTATTTTTATGCCCTATGATGCTTACTTATCCTCTCTGACATTTGTATAATTATTGGGAAAAAGTCATAATTTTTTTAAGAAAATTGCAAGATTTATATTCAATGGCATTTGTTTATATACAGCTTCTTATCTCGTTATCGGTCTTTTTTGCCTTCTCCTTGGGGAAGATTAATTACTTATCCGGGGACTTTATATGCTTTTTAGATTGGAGATGAGAAGATGCAAGGACTTTATATAATGAAGCTTGTGAGATCATTCTGTAGATCCAGTGAATCTGGTAGCGTGTTGTACATCTTTTTTACTTAAGTTTGCTTGTACCCTTGTACACTGGTACTTCTATGTTTCTCCTTCAAGTGTTGGCCTCACATTCTTTTGTTATTCATTTACAAGATGATCCTTATGATCATGTTGGTTCCATACTTGTAAACATCTCAAAGAAAGAAGCGGGGAGGAAAATGTTATTGGATCCCAAGCGTGGCTTGTTAAAGCAGATTATTAGACAGTTTGATTCATCTAGTCCATTGAGAAAAAAAGGGGTATGTAAAAATGATTTGTGAACCAGTAAGTTTCTTTAGTGTACTTTTGTATTTTGGACAATACATATTTTTTCTTCTTTTAATTTTCTACATATAATCTTTTATGCATTATGCTTGGCCCAAAAAGCTTGGAAACTCTTTCTAATCTTGTGGAAAGTCTTTGAAGTTGCATTGAAATATGTATAGCCATTTCTAGGATCCTGTGATTTGATCATTTCACTTCATTGAATTATTGCTATAAAAGTATTAGATCTTTTAGATAATTTGCTTCTCTTGCCCAGTTAGGAGTGCCTCAGAAAAAGATTGGTGCATTAACCTCTTAGATATTAATGAACAAGCTCTGCTTGTTTACAGTTGTTTAATGGCCTCAAATTGCTTTTTACATATTTTCTGGTAAAGGTCTTTGATAAAATGAACTGCTTTAAGAGGTCTAATGGTAGGCTTTCCATAAGATATCCTGCCTATAATACAAAGCGAAGCTTAAGTTGAGATAGGCATTATAAGAGCTTAATGAGTTAGAAATTTGTTCAAAGAAGAAACTGAAAGAGGTGATACCACAAAACTGAGGGATCAATAGTAGGTTGCTCTCAGTTTGGTTGATAAATTTGGCTAATTTGATAGTTTGATTAGGCTTGTGAATAGTTTTTGTTCAACCATGCATTGTAAATACGAAGCTTGCTCTAATCAAGTTTAGGTGGCCAAGCTTATGCAAATAAAACCAGCTCACACCTGACTGGACCTATTCACTTAGCTTGTCCAGAGATCAGCAAGTTTTTTTCATGGTTATAGGTTTCTGGAACTATTAGGAACTGCTGCTTTGAAGCAGAGAATCAACTACAGAATCTGCTCTTGATATCAGAGTTTCTTTGGCCAGCTCTGCTTCTGCCAGTTGCTGGAAACAAGGTAGCATTTATACAGTTTCTTGGAAGATTAAAGCTTTTATCTTATGTTGGCTTATAATTAACTAACTGTTTGGTAGAAGAGAGAGGAAAGGAAGGAAATGTTTTAATCTAATGGATGAGCTATAGAATAGCACATATTGTTATATAACTCAAGCATTATAGTAAAACTTTTTCTTTCCTCACCCCTTTCTTTCCTTCCTACCAAATAGAGTGTCAAGAGTGTAGTCTTAAACCTTAATGGATGGCTTATTGTTTTGTTATTGACCATGTATACATGTCTCATAAAATTATTAGTTATAGATTCAAGAGGATAGCCACTAATAGAGCGATGCATTATTTATGCTCCAGAATAGAGATTTCTTGGTTTAGTTTGAAAGTGTTATGGCATCATTTCTTGATGTTGTTACATGTCTTTCATCATTTTCTTATTTATATATCTGGCAAAAGCTCATGCCTTGATTTTTTTCCCCATTTGTCTCGTGCCGTCTGCCCAGATATATGGTGAACAAGACACATCAAAAATGCCACTTGAGCTTGGAAGTGCACTCTCAATTGAGCGTGAACCAGTTAAGGATCCTGAGATTCGTGTTCAAGCACTGGAGGCTATTTACTTGATTGTTTTACAGGTAAAAATCAGTGACATTTCTTTTGTTCCTTTCTAAGTGTAGCACACTGAAATCTGTTAAATAATATTCTAGTTCATTTAAGCAATTGCAAAGCTATCTTGTGCAACCACTCAAATATTAGCTGAAAATTTGCAAGAGGACTTTGAGAAGTTCTTGGTTTTACATCTAAAATTTTCTTGGGATTGGTTCAGTCTCCACCTATAAATATTTATTATAGGATTGGTTGTGACATGACTAATTGTATATCAATAAATACAAGGAATGATATTAAAGATTATGCTTGAATCATTGAATGCTATCCTCAGAAGATATCGGCTTTTATGTTTCCTTTGTATATTAACAATGCACTATTCCAAATGCTGCTATAAAAGTAAACTAAACTGGGAAATCAACTTAGATGCTTACTGAATGCATGGATCGATTCAGCAACCTTAGACAATTGACTACTAATTTTTCTTCCTTAGTACTATTATAGACCAAACTAGGCTGGATAATTAAAGTAGGGTTAACTTGGTTTCTGAAGGCAGTCTTTATATAGACTGTGATGCCTAGATAAATGACTACCATTGAATTTGGGTTAATCTTCTTCTTTTGAAAAAGTTGGGGAAAGGGAGGGGAGGGGGGGGGGGGAGAAGATTTACAGGTGGTTTTACATATTTTCAGAGTTGCTTTTACATTAGGATTATTCGCTTGTATATGAATTTGCATTCATCTTCTTTGAGAAATGTATTGCATCACAAAATTTTTTTCTTTCCATCTAGGAAGCGGGTCGAAGAGCCTTTTGGTCTGTCAATGGACCAAGAATATTACAGGTGGGGTATGAAGATGAAGAAGATCCAAAAGTAATGGAAGCATACGAGCAAATCGGTTCCTTGGTATCTTTCCACCTCTCTGACAATTGTTGGTTGTATATAATCTTCTATTTTGCATTGATTATGAATCTGATATGTACTTGTTTGTATCATTCCCAGGTTGTTCATGGCAATGGGACAGAAGAACCATCAACAACTACATCAAAATAGCTTTTTACTTGTATGTTCGTGGAGGTTCTTGTATCTGCAGCTACAGGTCATGACTGACTGTTTTTCTGCGGAAATGCCCTTGTTTAAGCTCAAAAGACATCAGAGATCAAGCTTCAATTACAGAAGTATTATGATAATATGATCAAGTATTGAAGATATGTTGTTGTTTAAGGTATAAATTATTGCATAGTCTTTGATTGAACTATTGTCTCTACTTATAAATCTTGTGTTTCAATTAAAATTAAGGCATCATTCAATTTTCAATGGAGAATTTTGTCCTCTAATCATAGATCTTAATTGCAGTAGAGGGGGTGAATGATTCCTTGCTAAAATTAGCTTCCAAGTGAATTGAAGTGAAACAAAAATTTACCCAAAACATATTCAATAATTATTGAACAATAAAATAAATTAACTCAATAAAATATTTGTTAAAAAATTTTGGTAAAGAGAGATTATCTTATTTTAGAATCAAGATTTATTATCAATTTTAACGAAAATTTATATTAAATTTACAAATCATTTGTTAAGAAAGCTGTTGATAAATCGAATTTAGATCTTATAAATAAAGTTTTTAATTTTTGTTGACTCAATTTAAATCTTGAACAGTAATTATTGAATTATAAAGCGAAGCGGTAAAATCTCAAAATGACGCAGTTAAAAGAAAAAACAGTTTGGCGCCAAAGGATTCCCGGTAAAATTCAAAAATGAAAAAGAACGGCAAAATTCCTCTTCTCCCTCCAACTGTTACTTCTTTTTCATCGTGCGTTTCTCATTTGCTTCAAAACCGAAGCAACGCTTAACTCTTCATCTTTCTAAAGAGAATCTAACAACCCGTTTCTCTACCCGACTTCAAAGATGGATCTGTCAGACATAGCGAGAAAGCTAGGTCTCTCAGAGAACAAGCTGCTGGTCCGAAAAGCGGCGGAGCTCCGCCGCCTCTGCGATGTCCAGTTCGATTCCTCCATCATCGGTGTCGTAAGTACTTCACCCTCTAATCGTTTATCACTTTAAAACCACGATAAAAGTTAAATGTGAACCGCTAATTCTGTTCTTTTTTCCCCCTTTGTAGGGAGAGGTTTGTAAAGCTATAATCTGCTTAGAAATTTCCGCTGCAAGGTACGATACATTATCTTTGTTTTCCTTTGATTTTGAATATATCCCAAATTTTGGATTAGGGTTTTTTCCCTAATGTGTGATTGTAATGAAATCTGTAGGTTTGGGGATGTTATATTTGATAGGCAGAAAGCCATCAAGTTAAGTGGAATGTCCGAGAAGGCTTACAGTAGATCTTTCAATTCCTTGCAGAATGGTCTAAATATCAAGTGGGTTTCTCTTTTGTATTTTTTTAAAGTTTTTTTATATTATAGATTTGAGTTATTATTTTAGTCAGATTTTGATTTTGGGGAAAAGTGGTGTTTCAGGACAACACTGGATATTAGAGAATTGGGAATTCAATTTGGATGTGTTAGGCTTATTCCTTTTGTGAAGAAGGGCTTATCTCTGTAAGATCTTTTTCCTTTTTATCTGTTAATTTGAATTTGGTTCCCTTAAAACTGTTTCCTTATCATTGCTTTGTGTTTGAGAAAATGCCTGAAAGGGTAAATCTCAAATTAAACAATCTTTACTGTACTCAAATTTGTCAAGATTGTGATCCACAATACCTTTCCTTTTCTCATTTGATCGTCTGATGAAGAGTTATGTTTTCCTTTTCCATTTTGTGAATTGGTGAATTGAATGGTTGAGTGACTTAAGTGACGTTTATGTTAGCTATAAGGAGCGGTTTACAGCATCGTTGCCTGTTTCCAGGCAGGCGAGTGCAGACTTCACTAGGCCAGTGTTTACTGCTGTGGCATTTTACTTGTGTGCAAAAAAACACAAGGTAACATAAGTATATTTCTTCCGTCAAATGTTTTTTTTTTACCTGTATTTACCCATTTTTTGACGTAAATTCTCTGCTTTACAGCTTAAGATAGACAAGGTTAGGTTGATTGAAGTTTGTGGCACCTCTGAATCTGAGTTTTCTTGTGTAAGACTGCTTCTCATATGATTATTCAATTGGTAACTTGTAAATGCTTAATGTTTGTTTATGTGCTGAGCATTGGTTTGGAACTTTTAATCTAGGTCTCAACCTCCATGAAAGATCTATGCCATGATGTTTTTGGAATCTCAAGTGAAAAAAAGGATCCCAAGGAAGTGAAAGGAAATCGAGGTAGTTGTTCATTTTTGTTAACCTTAAATTGGCAATGTTTACTCATTTATGTGTGTGTGTGTGTGTTTGTTGCCATTTTTTCATTGTTGCTACCATTTGCAGTAGAATGACGGTTTTCAAATCTTCAAGTTTGTTTACACAATTATTTTCTCTAAAATTTGCTTTGATGTGTATGCAGAACTGCTAGATGTGTTGCCTGAAAAAAGAAAATTTGATGATGGTGGTTATTTATCTGATGATGGACCAGAGGTACTACTGCAGCATCTGGAATATAAGTTTTAATTGTTGGATTAAAGTTGCATTTGTTTATTCTAGATTTGAGGCCTTGTGATTTGATTGTATGACAGTTGCTGTAACATTATGACTATTTAATTGGCTGTGTGCACAAGTGTGGTGATTGATTCAATGAAGTAGGGCTTAAGTTTACATCATTCAAGAGATTAAGATCACAAATGTCTATGCTTTGCATTGATTATTCATCGGTGGTCTTGCAACAATGTTTCTTATTGATTATTAATATTTTATGTTCCATAAGCAGCAAGTCTGGCGTTTGGATTTTCCAAGAGAATTAGAGTACTCAGCATTTTAGGGAAGTTTTACTAAAAGGCTACTTGAAGTTTGTGATATTGTTCTTGAAAAATATGATTTCACTTATTTTTCTTGTACATCAAAATACTATAGCACTAACATGACCCTCTTGCAGCTTTCAAGCTACAAACGGCATAAGAAAATGGAGAAAGTTGCTTATGAAGAGTGGAAGTCGTCTGTTCTTTCATCCAACAAGAAAAGCACAAAAGGTAATGAAAGAGTTTCCCTCTAATTTTTCTTATACAGCACCAATGCACTCAAAGGAAACCAGCACATCTGATCTTTAACATATATCTTACGTTTTTTTTTTCTTCAGCGCCTTGCAAGCGGACCACTCAAACCAGTCTGAACTTTCTGAAGGAAATTTCTGAGACACAGGAATTGAAGGCTGTATAGGAGACATGTAGGCTTTCATTTCTAGTTTTTAAGTTGTCTGAGCTGATCCTGCTGAATTAATATTAGAATAAAAGATCAGAATTAACATGGGTAGAAATGGATCAAAGTTATTGGTTATGCAATTTTTGTATATGATCATATCTATCATGAAAGTCTCTTATACATGGTTGTGTAGGTATCTCAAAAAGCAAGAAAAAAAAAAGGGTCAGCAACAATATTAAGGCAAATATTTTATTTGAGTTAAAAATGTTTTTCTTACAATATTGTAATTACTATATAAAAATGATATAAAAATATTAAAATAATATAATTTTAAAATTTTAAAAATTGTATGAGTTTTATAAAAAATAAAAATATTTTATGTTTATCATATTAATATAAATTATGATATAATAAATTTTATATTTTACATACAGTAAACAGAAAAAAATAAATTTAAATATAAGAATTATTAAATTTATTATATTAAATTGGGTCGGACGCGGGGAAGACCCAGTCTAATGACACGGTCTTAACCTCTGTTTTAAAAAGCAAATGTGTATGGGTAGACTTGGTTGTATTCGTATATAATAAAATATTAAATTTTATATTTATATTATATTTTATACAAAAATTAAATATTATAATTTATATTAATATAAAAGCATAAAATATATTTTTTAATTTTATTTAATTTCTATATAATTAGTATTTAAATTTTAAATTATATTATTTTTTTATTTTTTATTCATATCGTATTTTTGTATTTTAAATTATTAGGTAATTGCCGGTAACTCGGTCCACCTTCTGGACATTTATCCTTGTCGTCACGTCACAAAAGCGACTCATCGGTCGCCCTTTTCGACTGACCATAGTTAAATTCAAAACCCTCGCTATCCCTATTAAAGGGATAGCCACGTATCCATTTATTAGTCTAGGGTAGAACCGCAAGCACCAAATTATACCCCATTATTTTTTGGCCAAAATCTCCGTCTTTTTCCCCTATTCTTTATTCCAACGACTTTTCTTTTCACTTTCGAATCTTCCGTTCTCTTTCCAACCCTAACAACAACTTCCGTCGTTTATTTTGTTAATTTATTAGTAATTTTCCTCTCCAAATACGAAATCGCCACGTTAGACTTTTCATCATTGCCCAAAAAATCTATTTTAAAAAAAAATCCTTTCGTTTTATGCCTATTTTGACCTTTTGGGGGATCACTCTTTGTTTAAACACCTTCAAAGTCGTCTGTTTTTTTTTTTAATTTCATGTGGTTTGTTTGAAATTCGTGTAGTAAATGATGGGTTTCGCGATATCCGATGAATTGTTGGGAACTTTTGTTCCTATTGCTGTTTATTGGATTTATTCAGGTATTTATGTGTGTTTAGGGTCTTTTGAGAATTACAGATTACATTCAAAAAAGGACGAGGATGAGAAGAATTTGGTTTCCAAACAAACAGTCGTGAAAGGCGTTCTTTTGCAGCAAACCCTTCAGGCTGTCATCGCCATCCTTTTGTTCACGGTACGGAACACCCCCCCCCCCAAAAGAAAAAAGAAATTTTAGTTGAATTTTGATGATACTACCTTGCTTTAAGTTGATTTTAGGATAATCTGATGGTTCTTGATGTTGGGTTTCATTAAATTTTAGCTTTTTTTATTTTTTAATAAAAAGTTGGGATTTTTTTTGGATGTATTTGGGCACATATAACTTGGTTATGTACAAAAAATAAAAAAAATCTTTACTTGGTTATGATATAGTGGTTGTGTCAAAGCTCAAAATGAATTGCTTTACTAGAGAATTTTTTGTTAGATTATTCATATGATTTAGACTGTCACTTGGTTTAACTTAGAATGTAAGTTAGCCCATAAGATATGACCAAATTCTCTAGGAAGGGTTCCAAATTGTTACCCTTGATTGCTTTGCAAAGATGATAGCAAGAATTGGAGTTAATCATTTGCATCATTCCCCTGCATGCAATACAGTTGTCCAGGCTGCTTACAGAAGTAGGTTGTATAATTTGTCTATAATCAGCCATGAGTTTATATTTGATTTCTTTTGATCCTTCAAAGATTATAAATAGGATAGGAAAATTTTTGTTAGGGTGCATACAAGTTTTAATGTGGGAGAGTTACTTATTTATAGATAATAAATCTTGGTATGTCCCCATAGCTTATCTGGTGGCCTTGTTAATTAGGAATAGTAACTTTTGTTATCAAGTTTCAGCTTTAATCATACTTTAATTTGTGTGCCTTTCTTCGGTATATATACAAAATAATATGTCTGTCAACTTATGATTTATTAGATATTATCATGAACAGGGCAAGGTAAATGCGGAAATAGACTGTCTTGGATTGTGTTTGTGATCTTTACTTTAGCGGTAGAAATTTAATTTAATAGTAAGAACAACCTCATCAAAATTCATAGGGTTCTTCATATCTTCCCACTTGATGAAATGCTGACAAGCTGGTTGCTATTCTTGTTTCTTGTGTGTCAGAACTGTTTTCATTTACATAATTTGTAACTGGTTGGTTTCTGTTTGCATTTGCTTTTTTATATTTATCTTTACTCCACTTTTGATTCTGTTGTTAATTAAACCAAAAATACCATGCCTTCATCCGTACATATATAATTTGCCATATTTGCAATTTTTATTGTTAAATTATGTGACTGTTGTAGATTTTATTTGCAAACCTTGCTTTGTGCAGGTCACGGGGAGTAATGCTGAGTCTTCTACGGCACAGCCATTGTCCCTTATCATTCTAGCTAGACAGTTTGTTACAGCAATGATAGTTATGGATACGTGGCAATATTTTTTGCATAGATATTTCCACCACAACAAGTTCTTATATCGGCACTTCCATTCTCTACATCACCGTCTTGTTGTTCCCTATGCATTTGGAGCTTTGTACAATCATCCGGTGGAAGGCCTTCTCTTTGACACAATAGGCGGTGCCTTGTCATTTCTCCTCTCTGGCATGTCTCCTCGAACTTCCATCTTTTTCTTTTCTTTTGCCACCATCAAAACAGTCGATGACCATTGTGGGCTATTGCTTCCCGGAAACCTCTTTCATATTTTCTTCAGAAACAATTCTGCTTATCACGATGTCCATCATCAGCTTTATGGTAGTAAATACAACTTCTCTCAGCCATTCTTTGTCATGTGGGACAGAATTCTGGGAACATATATGCCTTATTCACTTGAGAAAAGGGAAGAAGGGGGATTCGAAGCACGGCCGACTAAAGAGTTCAAAGATGATTAAGTAGATTGTGAGCATCCTTTTGTTTGTTACAAAAATATATCAACAGTATTTTCTTCACTTAACTCAACGGTGAACCACATTGCTTTCTGATTTGTATATACTCATATTGTTGTGCTCTCCAATTAAAACCTATCTTTGTTCATAGAACTAATAATGAGATCCATGAGTCGTGTCCAAAAATTTCGAAGGAACAGCTTCAGGCAATCTTGTTTCCAGGACAAGGGCTTGGGCCTAGCCTTCTTTCTTTTTCTGTCGGTCGTGAAGTTAACTAATAATACATTTCAGACAGGCAAAGTCATTGGTTCATAATGCATTACAAGGTCGTGCTTTTTTGTTTGTTTGTTTGATAGGTCAAGCACCAATGATTATTGCCAAAATTTTCTTGGATTCACCAGAAGGTAACGAAGAAACCAGTTTCAAACCTAGATAACGAGTTTTTGGAAGTCTGGGCCTCGAGAATCTAAGCCATGGGTTCAAAGATATTTCCATTGCTTGTTGGCAGTGGGCTGTAAAGCCCTTTATTGTTAATACTAGTAAAACTTGAGAATTTCAAAAATTAAAACCAGTAAAAATTCTCTTGCTTGTTGTAGATTAGTTATCTTCCTTAAGTTAACCATATAAATTGTTTTTCTTGTGCAATTATTTCCAAATAATAATTTGTCTTATTTCACTAAGAAAAGCCAAAAGAACGATTGGAGTTTTGTTGAAGAGATTTTTGCCCACTATCGGTCAAATTGTAAAGCATAGATTTGGGATCATGGTGTCCTTTTTCTCCTTTTTATTAAGAACCAACATGCCTGTATGTGTTTTTGAGGTTCATGAAATATGATTAATTGTAAAGTCATTTGGTCCATTTTGTTTCATCAAAAAATACCGTTTTGGTCCATAAGCCACATCCTCCCTTCGCACATAATAAGAAGGCTATTCGTTTGAGCAAAAGCCTATTTTGGATTTTAAATGCCATTCCCTTCCGAGTGGTCCAACTCTTTCAGCATTATGTTCTCCAGTCATATTTCTTGATCTGCTGCATTTATGGTTTATATCTACCTTTGCCTTTCTAATTCATTTCTCGATCTCCTTATGCACATGGATGACCCTTCTACTGTTATTCCCTGATGGTCCCTAGGGGCAAAGGAGAGTGAAATTTAGGTTTCTTGGCATGATTTTAATTCATCAGTCAGGGTAGGAAAACAAAGGTGTTCCTCAACTAATATTCCCATTAAATGCCCAGCTGGCAAATTTAGTTTTCTAATGGTACAAACCTCACTCTCATCAATGTCTCAGATGGACACTTTTTAGAGGAATTGAATTGTGCTTTCACAGCTTTATCCTACCATTTTTGTCTGCAAAGTTAACTTAATTGCATTTGGTTTTAATTGTGATCAGACTGATGTTAAGAGAAGTTTGCAAAGACTTATGCTTGTTTATTTTGATTATAGCTATGTTTAAATTTGATTGACTAAGATTTTTGTTCTAGCATTAGGTGTAATTATTCTGTTAATTTCCTTCAATGGACATAACAAGAATCTCATCTGAATTTCCAGGAAAGTGGATGTGAAATGATGGAATTGTTGACAATATATTATGGACCAATTTATTTATGAGGTGGTTGCTCAATTAATTGCTTTCCTCCTGCTCAGATAGGTGTGACAATTTTTAATTTTGAAGTGTCATTCTTGCTCTGAAAATTCACTGTTTCATAGCTGGAACTGAAGAGCTTCTCCACTAAACTATTTATGTATGAAGCAACAGCAACTAAGCTATGTAAGAGTTTCTCCCCCTGGCAAAAGTGGAATAGTCAGTAACATTTTACCTTTCTATTCTTTAGGGGTTGTGAAGGGTATTGAACATAAATAGAATGGAACCAAATAAAAGTTAAATTCTTTGCCTGTTTTCTCACTTTTGTGGTGGTAAATCATAGTATTAGTAGAATTAAAGCTTAGAGCTCTCATTTATCTTCTGCTTGTGGTCCACACAGAAAATATTGACAAAAACACAGGAGATCAATTATTGAAAGTCCAGGTCATAGCACTTTGTAATGAAGCTGGAAAGATAATGGTCCTGAATCCTGATCATTGATCTTGTGTAAGTTTATATAATTTTTCCTAGAAGAAGAGGCAAGCCAAATGTAAGTTGGAACTGCCAGGGCAAATGAGGACATCTCCAGGGACCCAGATATCTGGATGCAAACACAATAATATTCATCTTCACTCTTCACAATCCATGCATTAATTTCAAGTTTATCGATATTCATATGGCAAATAAATGACCCTCCCTGTGATTTTTGGATTAACTTTCGAAATAATTAGGATTATTTTATGGAATTCAACAATACTAGTATAATACTTGAAACATAGTAAAATTTTTCATCGCAAATTGTACAGAAAACATAATTAAAATAAACTCCAGCCGAGCTATTCCAATCTTCTGAATATACAAGAGATGTGAAGATCGTGGTTAATGTGAATGGGGAAGGGAGCGAGTGGCAAGAATCCGTGGCGTTTGTGTAGGTTCAAAACCTGCAAGTTTAGTTTCAGTTCGAAATCTTGTGGCAGGCATGCAGGAATCGGACACAAGACGCATTCTTGGATCAAAACCTGCCTTCTCATTTGTTTTGTATGCATCTCCAGCAACTTTAACAGCTTTCTGAAACTCTTTGTTATGTTTAGTTTTTGCATTGGTGGTTGCCGAAGATGTTTTTATTGGGCTTGGTAATGTTATTGATGACCTTAGCTCTTCATAGTCAGACATCACTGAGAAATCTGCTGCACTGCCCGTGACCACACTCGACTCTATACTGGCCTCGCTTGGTGCATAACAAGTTGTTGGGGTGACACAGCCAGACGCTGCATCAGATGCTTGTCTCGCAAGAAATGTATTGGCTTTGCCTGTGAGGCTCTCTATCTCAAATAAGTCTGAACTTGCATCACTCTCTGTATCATTGTAGTTTCCTTTATTAGAATATTCAGTTTCTTCTACTTTTGGGGTTGCATCCCATGGCATTTTTAGCCTCCTCTCAAGGTTCAAAGACTTGTTGCTCCTTCCAAGGACAGGGGAACCGAAAACCTCTAGTGATTTCCGTTCGATTTCGTCTACCTCTCCTTGCAATGGCACTTTAACAGGCTGAATTCCCACGGTAGACTTCATAGTTGGGAAAGTAAAGAGGTCCTCCTTCATCCATGGCTCTGCCGATGGTTTATAGACATTTAGACCTGCCTTACTACTGGCTGCTGTTTTATTTTGCTTGCCTTGAACTACCTCACCATTACCAGGTCTATTGAAACTTATTTCACCAACTTGTGCTTCTTCAATATCAACAGAATTCCTATCAGAACAGTTGCATTTGCAGCCAGCAAGACCAGAAAGAAAACTCTTTCCATTCACCTTACTAGGTTTCGGGCGAGGAACTCTCATAACACTCTTAAGTAATGCATTTCGGCTGTTCCAGCTTGATTCAGAACGAACACTTGGAGTTCCCTGATGTATTACAGGCTTGATAGGATCTAGACTGACTCCTTCATGTTTCGCAACTTCGATCATCTTTGCATCCATTTTGGTTATTCTTGGACTATCCACATGATCTGTCCCTCCATTAAAGTATTTTTCAGCTCCAAATACTCCAATTTCTCCATCTTCTTCTTTCTTCCTTCCTGAATAATGATGTTCATCTTGGTTGGTGATCTTGGGGCTGATTTTTCGGCTTGGCATTGAAACTTTTCTCTCATGGCTTTCCCCATCACCGCTCGGGAAATTAGAGAAAGAAGCATCACCAGGGCTGCTATTGTTATTCTCAAAGGGCAATGTTTGTGAGAGGCTTGTGCTGTAAGTTGATGTTAATGTAACCATAGCCATCTTCAAAATTCAGACAGAATATTTGCTGCACAAAAACAAATGAAAGTGAGAAAATGGCCCCAAGAAAACCTTCTCCACTTTCTAGAGGCTAGAAAAAAGCTCAACAAGAAGCACAAAACTACAAAAAGAAAAGGAAATATACAAAGTACAAGTACAAGTTTCCTCTGAAGACAACTTTGAGGAAACCCAAGATTCCCCTAAAGCAAACAAGCCGAAACTACTTGGTTACGAAATCAAAGGCTGAAATTAGCTGAGGAAAGAAATGAATTAAAAGGAAGAGAGAGTTTTGAGTTAAGGGGCTTCCTTCCAGGCTTCCACTCTATCTGCAATATGTTAACAAGCGTAGGCCCATGTGCTAATGGCCTAAAGCAAACTTTGGTTAAGTTTCTCCATAAATGGAGCTCGGCTATAAGTATCTCGACGTTATCTTTTGCAATGGGATACCCTTTGATTTTTGCCAAGCTGTACGGAATTGATTTTTGTTTTGTTTTGGGAGGGAGGGAGGGATTTTCAGAACTTATGTGGATACAATTATAAAGCCTTTAATTTTGCTTGGATTGACATGAAGAATCATCTTCACATGTTGATCGTATGAATAGGATTGGCTATTGCTAAGGACTTTTGACAAGTTTTAATATCAAACAGTGATGGATATCATTTCATTTTAGGAGAATTTACTTGGTATAATTGTTTCCCATGCAATCATTATCAAAAATGTTATCTGAACTTTTATGATTTAGTAATTCAAATGATTGTGTTTGCAAAACTTAAAATCAAATTCATAACGCAAATTGCATAATCGGATTCAAAAAAGTCATATTTTGACCCAAAAATATAATTCAGTACTATTAATTTAAATCTGATATAACCCATAATATAATATAATTCAATACTATCAATTTGAACCCTACAAATATAATTCAGTACTAACGAACTTATCCCTTTCCTCACAATCTTCATTATCATAATTCAATGTTTTGTTGCATTGTGTTTTCAGTTACGTTCAGTCCACACAATGTTTACAGCAAAAAGAAACTAAGCCCTACAACATCACTACGCCCTTCATTTCAGCTAGTCAAGTCCATACCATCCACTTCCTGAGAAAAGATTTCAACATGCACAGTAAATGGTACTCTTCATATTTATTCCTTCGTGTTATTATCTTGTTAGACCATAAAAGGATTGGATTCCTCTAATTCAAGGCACCATTTGCTTTGAAGAAACTTGACAACTCATTGAGGGTCAGATTGTACATTAACTTTTTAAGCTATCATTTTTTGGAGCCAAATAATAATGTCAAAATTCATTAACCGTAAAACTTAGGAAGCATAGCTTTTATAGCTGTCTGTTCATAAATTAATACAAATGAACAGAGACCGATCATTGATGGTTAACTGAAATCGCCTCCCTACACCGAAACAATCCTGCCGGCAAAATTTTTCAGGCTGGAAATTAATCAATTCATATAGAGTGCATTGCCAGCTCAATTCATGCCAAGGTTTCAAGTTTGCTGTCCTCTGCTGTTCACTGCACGGATGTGGTGTTTCCCCCTACAACCCAATATTGCTTAACAGCAACCAATATCTTCTCAGGAACTAAAGGGCCATCTTCATGGTCAACCATCTTAGTGTCCCATCTCATTCCTGCTGTTATCTTATTCACTTTAACTAGAATATCAACTTCATCTCGGAATATAACTGCACCTTCTGGTCGCAAAATTCGGTCCATCTCCAATAGAATGTCCTCTGGATTACATCTGCATACATTCAATTAAAGATGTAGAAGTTCTATAGATAAGAGATAGAATGCCAAATGCTCTAACAATGGTGAGCTCAGACCAAAGAACATGTAACGAGAAGGTTTAACATAGGAGAATTCCTAGCCCTTGAGAACCCAGATGCATCATTAATTGAATTTTCCAGTATTATACAAATTAAAAGTCCTAAGATGTACAGTTTCCTTACCGAATCACTTGATGTGCATAGTTCTTTTGAACCACTAAGGATTGGTTACAAGTTTAATTGCGGAACAAAAACATTGAACTGTTCAATGAAGGCTTATGAGACACAGGAACATAGGTTTTTGTCAGTGGTTATAATAAAGATATCTCTAACTTTTGCTAAAAAAAGATTTTTAGCATTTAGACAAGTTGTTGTGTCTAAAATTTTGTAGTAGCTGATACAGGAATAACATTGTTATATCCAAAAAGTCTAGTGTAGCTGTTTGCATGCAAAAATATGAGTTTCACATTAAGATGTAAGCAACTGCACACCAAATTGATAATTACAACAAAATGCGGTTAAACAAAGCAAAAGTACGAGAATCAAACTCATGGTTTATTTGCAGAGTATAAGCAAAGTTCACGCATATGGTAAATTGAAGCACACATCAAAAAGTAAACTTACTAGCACCCATCAAAAAACAAGTACTGACAAGTGATGAGTACTAGTAAAAGAACAACATAAATTGTGCATATATTAGACTGCTCAAAAGTAATGGAATGCACATTTAATTATGGATACTTACTTGTCTTTGTACAAACTGAAAAGACCATGTGCATGAATGAGATCATATGTCCTTGGGTATGTGGAGAACGCCTCACACCTGAACCAGTGAAAGACAACAAAATGAATAAGTCCAATAATATATGCCAACATATTAAAGGAGCCCAAGCAGTTCTAAGTCCTGAGCCAGTTTCTTATAGCACAACCAAGCCAGGCAAATCAATATGCAAAGCAGTATGTTTCTGGCAAGTAGATAAAGTCTACAATATGCTACTAAGATATTCGTGTAGTTTCAACTTGGTTATATGCAACTCCAGATATCAGAAGTTCTACAAACTTAAGATTTTATCTCAATCATTATTAAGAGTTCTTAGAGGCACTTATTTTGTTAGTTACTTTGATATTAGGAAAGAATTTATCAGATATTACAAAGCCATCATGAGGGAAGTTAAAAGGAAGTTCCGGCAGAACCAAAATTAGTAGTATAACAAAAAAGCATAGTTTAGAACAGCACCAACTATAAATAAAGCCAAAAGTTTAGTTAGCCTTACCAGTCATGATAGATGCCAATTAATCCTCGCTCAGATATGACACCCAGGGTATCTTTCTCTGCTATTGTGGGCATCACATTCATAACCCACAATTTGGGAGAGTCAAGAGCTGCAGCAAATCCTCCCAACCCAGCATTCATATCCAAAATATTTCGATACCTCCCAGAGTCAATAAGTCTATTGATTTTCTTATAAGCACTTACATGCTTCTTCCACTTATGGTTGTCCTCTTGGTATGTCTCGACAGAAACTCCAGGAACACTTCCACCAACTATTCTAGGAGGGACAGCATATAGCCTCTCTGGGAATGGCTCCAGTTCCCCACCAGCAACTTCATCTGGACTACTAACATCTGGATATGGAGTAACGCACACATCCATTTTCTTATACCTGGCCGCCACCACAAGAAAAGATGATTAAATAAAATGAAATTCAAGATCCAGAAAGAATTAATTACTGGCAGCACAAACCGAAATATATCTGAAATTGGTTCAAAAATCCCGAACAGAATGCAAGATAGTAACCCTGAAACTTATACGTTTCAATCCCACATGTGGATCACAGGATTGCTTAAGAACAGCAGAAGAGAATTAGTGCAGTCAGTTTATAAGGCTTAATGAAATTGCTAAACTGCTAGGCCAGAAAATATAGGTTCCAATTCATGAGACATGCATTGCACGTTCCAACTTTTAATGTTTGCACTGTTGACGCAATATCTATTACAATTGATGTGAAGCTAATTCATATCCAATTTTCAAATACTGCCAAAGCAGACACAAACTTCTTCACTGCAATTTTACTAATTCCAAAAGTTTTCCTACTATTAACTTAATAAGGATGTGAAATATTGTTTTCATAGCAAACTGTAAGATTATAAAAATTTGAAGCACAGCTCATACCAGACATCATTAGCTTCTCCAGCTTTGCAGAAACTAGCTTGAGAATCATCTTGTCTACCACGACAAGAATCATCATTGACTCTCTTTTGCCAAATGGCAATTTCACCCTTCTCATGTTTCTTCTCCCAGCAAAGCAGTTTGGCAATGTCCTCAATCTTTTGTTGTTCCACCTCAAGTTCCTCCTTGGGACGCTGCCATGCTTTGTAATTGTTCCTCCAATTGATTGGTGGACCCGAAAGTACCCAGTAACCACCTGGTCTAAGAACACGATCAACCTCCTTCAAATACATTCCATCTGCAAAAGTGCAAATAGACAGACCCATAATCATTCATCAATCACTCAACTTCTGTTAAGAGAAATCTTCACTAAAACAATGCTTAAACAAGAAAATCTACTTAAAATACCAGACTGTCTACGCTTAAACATAGGAACACTCAATTTCAATATATGACCCACCCTTTGCTCCCCATGGAATCAAGCAACGAGAACAGTGAGCCATATCAAAAGCTCTTGATGGATATGGCATCTTTATGGTCCCAAGAACACCTATAATAGCAGGTACACCTCTTTCAAGAGCAAATTGAACCTGTGCTTCATGTGAATCTCTCGGTGCAAACGACATGGCAAGAACATTTCTACTCCAGAGGTATGCACCCCAACTTGCAACCTATACAAAATAACCAATAGTAAGATTTATATACTTATATAGATTCACGAAGATACAAAGACAAATGCCTTCTGCCAGTACAAATGAATAGATGAAATCAAACTTTCAAGACCATGGCATACCCCACAACCGGTATCAAGTGCAGTCCTAACTGTCCCGTTAGTAATTGGTATCACGGAAGCAAGCTGATCAATATACTTATCCGCCCCTTGCGGAAACTGCGTTCCTCCACCAGGGAACCTGAACACATTACCCTCATATTGGATCCAGTTCTGAATAGCCTTCTCAACCGTCAAGGCCTTATACGGGGCATTAGCATAAGGCACATAATCCCGACTCTTAGGCCAAGGAAACGGGGTCACATATCCTTTAGGTGCCGGAACAAGACAGTGCAACTTCTCTTCTTCGCTCGGACAATGCCTCTCGCGATAAACCATGTTGTCCCTAGGGAAAGTCATGGCACGCTTTTGATCTTGACAAGGCGTGTAATCAACGTAAAGAGCAGGACAGGGCTCAAAAGATTTAGGCTTTTCGGATTCATCTACATTCCCAACTTCACCAGCGTGATGGGTTTCGAAGTTTAAGGATGGGTCGATGTTGCAATCTGTACCATGTTTAGCCAACTCTAAAGCTATGCTATCCCCTTTACCAAAACCACTTCTTTGCCATGCTCCTAATATGTAGAAAAAACAACATAATCCGAATACAATAAATATCTGAATCGCACTCCTGGTTCTACCATCAGCTGAATTCGGTTTCAGTGCCATTTTTGGAGAATCACCTGCAATTGATTTCCACATTTTAGATCAATTAAAAAGAAAGAAAGCTAAATCATTTGAGTAAAATTTTCTTATTTAGCCAAACAAAAAAAGAATTTCTTTAAATTAGAAAAAAATCATGATGATTCAAAAGGAAATGTCGATGAATTACCAGTCGCATCAATAGACGAAATCAGTGGTTCAAGATCTCAAAATAAAAGCCAAAAATCATTCTTTTTTAATGATGATGGGAAAAGTGGGGATTTTCAGAGACTGGAAGGGAAGGAGAGGTGTCAATAAAACACTGAAAAGTGAGAACCCTAATTTCTCCCTCAATTATAGTAGTGAAAATCGAAGAAGAAAGATCATCAACATCAGAAGAACAAAAATAAAGCGAGCTTTCCTTCAACAGGGATTGTGCTAAAAGCTTTCGAAAACGCACGTCTTTCTCTATCTTCATCTGTCGTATCATATTTTTGTCGATAGATAATTTTAAGCTCTTAAAAATATTTCCAAAAATAACGGGTGCGCAATGCGCAGCCGGAGACGGCAGGGGGGACCTACGCGCTGGTTCCCACATGCATGCGGAGAGGATCTAGATCTGCGTTTAAGGAGTTGGTGATTGTAATGATGATGATCAGAAGAAGGGAAAAAAGCTTTGGACCGTCCGATGGTAAGTGAAGTACATCAAATGGTGTGGGTCTATAAGATCCAAAGATATCGTGGCAGCACCAATCACTTCAGATGGTCGACGATGTTGACGCAATGGGAAGCTACGAAACTGATTTCGTTTGGTTTGGTAAGCGCTTAAATTCAGACAATGATTTGTAGTAATTAAGGTCTTTTTTAGTAAGCTTTTGGCGGCAGAGAGTTATTTTATTTTATTATTATTAAAATATTTAAATTTTTTTAATCAAATTTCCATGTTTTGTCTAATTTAATTTGCGATTTTGAAATATATATATAATATTTTAAAATTTTTATTTTTGAAATATTCTGACAATAATTGGATTGTAGTTGAAAAAAAGTTTCGTTTTATAATATTTGAATTAATTTTTATGGATAATCAATTAAATAATAAACCTGGTGATCAATATTCAATATTGTTGTTAATATAATAAACAATAACGAGAAATTAAAATGATAATGTAACTTAACGAAAATATAATAATAAAAAAATTAAAATCAAAATAATTCATTGTCATAAAAAATTAATATAATTATATAATAAAAGTTTATCTAATCATAAATTGATATATTTGGAGAGTAACCACCTTACACTCTTAGCTTACATAATTCTCTATTTATAAAGCCTCTTATAAATTAATTGAGAATAATTTATGTAGAACAATTATAATAGGTTATTAAATAATATATTTTAAAATAATAAATTATGTTGATAAATATGTGTGATTGTAATTTATACTTATATAAAAAGAAATATAAAAAATATGTTTTGTAATTAATTAAAATTTTATTTTAAGTTTAAATTTTTAACATTATATGATCTATATATTCGTTACACAAATTATTTTTAATTAAATATTAAAATTGCAGATATCAAATAATCAACAATGAAAGTGGCCACCCTGCCTCCTGATCTAGTGCTCAAAAAGAGTTAAAAAAAGACATGAAATCTCGGTTTCTCGCCTCCCCTCTCCTCGCCTCTTGATCAAGAAGAACTTAAAAAGAACATGAGATTTCGATTTCGAGCCTCCCCAGCTTAAAAAAGATATAAGGTTTCGGTTTCAAACCTCCCTTCTCCCCAACTCCGGGCCTAGTGGACAAAAAAAAAAAAAAGAGATCTCGAATTCGAACCGTCCCCCGTCCCCCACCGCCTGTACTTTCACGATAATTTTTTCTTTTGAAAACAGAAGATGGGAGGAGGGGTGGCTCGGAATCGAGCCCCCGTGTCCCCTTTAAGCTCTCCTTAACCACTAACTAGGAGGCGGGAGACACTTTCATGGTATTTTTGAATAAATTAGAATAGAGAAAATGAATAACAGTTTGGAATCAAGAGCAATTAGTGCATTTGGCAGTGAGATTTCCACTGAACTATAGAAAACGAAATAATGCAATTGTTTCATTTCCGAGTCAGCTACAACTGTTCTTGCGGTAACCTTTTACCAACCAAACATAAAAGAAAAGGAAAGAAAAGAAAAGAAAATTATTGTCAGATTTTCATGTGCAAATTCAAGGGTCCACGCGTCTTTACAATATGAAAATGATTCATGCCTTGCTGTGTATGACGGCCGATGATAATTGGCTTTCTATGAAATTATAAATATAAAAATACTATAATTATAATTAAATATTATATTATATAAAATAATTATTGAATTATATAAAACAAATAAATGGACAAATTTAATAAAAAAGTTATCATTTACTTTTATATTAGAAAATAGATGTTTTGCTTTTTATTTAAAAAAAAAAAAGGAATTGTCCATAATCTCCTCAAGGATTTATTGGAAACAAATGGTGCTGGGGAACTATAAAAGTGAAGCTCTGCGGACTAAATCATAATTTAGAAATATTCAGAGGCCTCTTTTAGCAAAATTCCCCTCTTGTATTCTAGTAAGTACAGTAATCTTTTGAACGTAACACGTAACCTTATCCTCCTACTTCCCGACAGCTTGACTGAATCCTTGCTCCGCTGCTTGAAATCGTAAACTCCAAACTTTCAATCAAAACAAAGAAGGGTTGCGACAATGGTTACTAGTGTAGCTCAGTTTTGCATCTCTGCTTCGCCCAAAACCTTAGCCAAACAATCTGGCGCCATTCTTCTCAACAGACCAAACCCTGTTTTGCGGTTCCCTTGGACAAGACTGCTTGCACTTTGCTTCACCAATGCTGGAAAAGACAATTCCAATTTCCAAGCAAAGTTAAAATATTTGTCCCCAAACCTTTTTACTGCTTACCCAAAAGTTGTATAAGGCTCATTTTGCTTTTCTTAAATCCCAGGGAGAGACTGAATTGCTGTGGCCGATACTCAAGCGATGGGAGGTTCCCTGGGAGTGGTTCATTAACTTTACTTGCCTGTGGATTGAGGTGTGTTTCTTTTCCTTTTTTTTTTTTTTTTTCATTCACTATTTTATGGTTATTATTTATAAATGGTGTGTAATTGTTTGTCTAGTATATTTGGTTAAGAATGAAACTAAAGGTTTCCCAGGCAGTTTTATTTTGACTGGATTGATACAGACAGCAGCTATACCTTACGTAGAACTTAATATTTAAGAACTAAGTTTGGACGAGAAGGCTGAGATACTTTTTGTGGATCAAGAGTATGGATCACTATCCTTAAATTATTAGCATCATTGCATTGAAGTTTTAATTATCGATGGTGTTCAAAAATGTTTTGAAATAATAGTTACTGGAATCTACAGTTTCAATTTGCCATTGGGCAATTGCTGACAACTTACTTTCCACTTTGTGTTCTAAGTGTCAGTCTTTACGTGATTTTGTGGATAAGCAATGTTGAGACTTAGATTCTCCTCATATAACAGAAGTGATAAACTTGCTTTGTTAATTTATACTTTTATCAGTTTCTGTCACGTTGTAGGTACATATTACATTGTATGGATAGATTTTCCTTGATTTGTTATTCATTATGTATCTATGGATTGTTTTGGCAGCATTACAACTATAGTTGTACTTGGAGTTTTGTATGGTGTAGCCAACCCCTTCCAACCCCTTACTGAAGACCTATTTCGCTGTGGTATCCTTCATGCAAAGTCTCCTAATTGCTTTAGTTCTCTATGCATGTTATGAAAATTTTGTCTTATTAAGTGAGCCACATTGAAAATTTGCATTGTTTCTTTTAGGCCTTTAGGTTATATGGGCATATGCATGAAAGGCAGCCAATCAACCTTTTTAACTGCTTTGATGGTTAATTGAAAATATTTTTGATGCTAATTAGAGATTTAAAAAATAAAAATCAAAGCCAAACTTGACTGATAATTCTCTGGATGCTGTGTCCAGATTTTCAATCTAGTATTGTGTTGTACTCTTTCAGATTTGGTCTTGTTGGTGCTCTTATTGCTAGTTCTTTAACAGGGGCTGCCATGTCCTTGTTTCGTGGTGAGGACTCACAAAGAGAGGTTAGAAATAATTTGGAACTATATGTTATTAACAAAGGATAATCAAGTGGATTAAACTTGTGTTTGCTTTAATTTTTAAATTTCAGAGAATGAGCTAGATGGCCTTGCACTCTGTGGAATTTAGAGTGGTTACTATCAAGTTGGAGCTACAATCACAGTTATCTAAACTTCATATGCTTTCTGGCATATAATGAATTCTTTGTTGACTTCTGGAACTTTTTTTCAGACTGATGCTCTAGTTCGTTTACTTCCATTGATTGGATCCTCAAGTATCAGGTTCTTAAATAGGAACTTTCTTCATATCGTGGTTGCAAAATTGGAATTTAGAGTGTTTACTATCATGTTGGAGCTACAATCACAGTCAAACGGATTTGGATTTGATGAACAAGAATTTTTTTCAACAAAAGCGGGCTTTCCACTTACATGATTGTAATTAAGGGGGTTAATGTTTCACGTAGAAAGAGGCATAGAAGCTTGGGTTTGAAGAGTTTGACCCATTTTTTAAGAATAAATTATAGTTACACGCTTGGGAAGCCCCCCTAGGTCAAGGAACAGACAAAAAGGGTTCCAACCGAGGGCTAGATTTGGGGAGTTTCACTGAATTTGGAGTCCCAAGTTTGGCATTTAACTCAGTGAACTCAACCCCATTAAATTCTTGGTACTAAACTTGCGAGACAATTAGTAAAAAAATTTTTACCAAGTTCTCAAGTACTAGAAAATTGGACTCCAAGCACAGTTGAGAGAGGGTTTTTGAAGGGAAATTCAAACTTGGTTTTAGCTTCACTTTGTTGTCATTCAATTGCAATTGCCAAAAACCAAGAAAATTGATGAATTCTATAGTGCTTGGTTTTCCAAAGCCCACAAAATCAAGAGGAAATTTGAGTAATTATAATTGACTTTTAACCTTCAAAACATAGACTGCTTTTCAGCGATTGTATTTAACCAACATATATAAACCATGCATGTAATGTATTAGAACCTATAGATAATCATGCGGCAATCGAAAATGACTGAAGACAAATAAGAGGCCAGGTTTTCATGTATATATCAGCTATACCAGTGTTCATTTCTAAATTAAGTGTTTGGTCATTGCTTTCTGCAAATATCCTCAATCTGTGCTAATACATAGGTGGTAATATCTCTTTTTCCGGGAAGTTATGTTTTTTTTTTCATTCAAACATTGCAAGGCTTATGCCAAGGCTTGATTAACCACTAAATCTAATCAAGTAGAAAGCCTTAAGAAGGCACAAGGTAATTTTAATAGTCAACATCGATCTAAACTGTAAAGTTGAAGCTGCACTCACGTCAATATTAAATTAACAAGAGAGGATGATGAATGATAACAGAATAATGAAGGTTAATTGTTAAAGCATTTTATCATAATTGCCCTACAGCTATACAGCTATACAGGATCTAGAAAGTCAAATGATATGGTTTTTAGGGGTTTGAATTTTGTAACTCTGAAAGATAGGTCAGTTTTTCACAAAAATGGACAACAGTGATATGTACTTAAATTTAGTTTATGGTCCTAGTTAGGGCAAGTGGTCCCAATTAATTTCTGCATTAAACTTGTTTAACTATCTCAAACGTTCATCAATTTGTTATTAAATATATATATATATGATATATCTATGAACTGATACAAAATACTATATATTATAAATCTGACAGAGTCAGTGGAATAGAAGCTCCGGGAATGGAATAGAAACTGAATTTTCGGATTCTGAGAAAAACTATATATCATTAGATTATCCTAAACACTGGCATAGGAATTTTACAGTTGAATATATATATCAGCTTTGTGTATTGGGAGTTGGTTCGGGTCCATGTTTCCATATAATAATTCAAACCAAAGACCATAAAAATATATGTTATATTGGATTTCTTTTGTCTTGACTTGAAATGGATAGACAAAAAAATCATGGGATTTGCATTAAAAATTTGCAAGTAATTAGTGATGTTATTATCCCCAGATGCCGCTGATTTTGTAGCTTCCTTGAGATTCTTCAATTTGGATTAAACAAACGCTAAATTGGGTTCATTAAGGCACAAGTAAGAAATAAGAGTCTCTTGTACAAAATCCATTATTTTCTTGACTTGGGTTTAATTTCTTGGTAGTTGTTTCTTTTTCCTTTTTTTTTTTTTTCGGTGAGCCAACGCGATCCTCGCGAAAAACACACACAAACACACACTCCTTTTAAATTAGTAACCAGAAAAGGCGGCTGATCCTTCGGGGGCAGACCCCTCATCAGGAAGCATATATTGGCTTCAAACTAAGTGAGCTTTTACTCTCAACTTGGTGTCTTTGAGTTCATATCCTTTTTAAACTTTGCTTGTTTTCTTAGGGTTCTTAGGGTTTTCTTCATTGTCAAGCTGTTCTTGTGTCAGGAAGTTTCTTGCTCTTCAGTTTCCTCAGAAACTTTCCATCTATTGCTTTTGTATTCTACTTTCAGTTTGAGGATAGAAAGTAAAGGAAACAAGAACTTGGGTCTCTTTCCATTTATTTTTGTTTTGCTTTTTTGGGTATCTGACCTGGGATTTAATACATAGGGAAGTAGAGAAAAGAATGGATGAAAGAAGTGATACTGATAAACTGGAAGAAATCATGCTTCCAGGGTTCAGGTTTCATCCAACTGATGAAGAGCTTGTTGGGTTTTATCTGAAAAGAAAGATTCAACAGCTGCCTCTCTCAATAGAACTGATTAAGCAACTAGATATCTATAAATATGATCCATGGGATCTTCCAAGTAAGTTAATCCTATATATACATGATGCATATGTTTTAGTGTTTACATTTTAAAAACTCTTTAGTATATATAGAATGGAAACTAACAGTTGTTTGTTTCTTTTTCTATGAAGAACTGGCAACCACTGGAGAGAAAGAGTGGTATTTCTACTGTCCTAGGGATAGGAAATACAGAAATAGTGCAAGGCCTAACCGAGTGACTGGAGCAGGATTTTGGAAAGCCACAGGAACTGACCGCCCCATCTATTCATCAGAAGGCACCAAGTGCATTGGCTTGAAGAAATCTCTTGTTTTCTACAAAGGCAGAGCTGCCAAAGGGGTCAAAACTGACTGGATGATGCATGAGTTTAGGTTACCTTCTCTCACTGACTCTGCACCACCAAAGAGATTCCTGGAAAAAAGCCTTCCTGCCAATGTAAACATCCTAACTGGCCTCTTTTTACTGTTATTTAATTATCATATTTCTTTGGAAACTTACGGAGTGGTTGATGATTATATATACTCGCAGGATTCATGGGCGATATGCAGGATATTCAAGAAAACCAACTCCACAGCTCAAAGGGCTCTTTCTAATCCGTGGGTTTCTCCAATATCACCTGAAACAATATCTGATATGCCAAGTCTAGGTTCAAACAGTTCTCAACTTTCTTCAGAGAACATGCCCTTGACAGCAAAAACCAGTTCATCACCACACCAGTTTAACCATAATCCTGACCTACTACAGACATCTACTTCTGCATTTTCTCTTTTAGACTTTGTCTCTTACAAGCCCATCACTCAGATGGCTGCATGGAAGCCTCCTCGACTTCCCATGCCCAATGGAGACCTAACTAGCCTCAATTTTGCACCTCCTGGTCAAAGCTCATCATCTGCCAAAACCGCAGTTGATGTTACTTCCATGTTGCTAAACATGTCATCATCTTCCATGCTTGGAGATTACAGCAGGGTCTCGGATAGTGTACATTATGGTGGCGGATCACAAGATCATTGCAATGGCTTCTCATTTACATTGCCCCATGAGATGCAAGGGAACATGATCAATAATGGAGATCATGAAAATTCCCTATTTAAAAGCCTGAATGTGAGTCATGTTGATGATCAATGGCCAACCATCCGATCCATTGGATTTCCCTTCAATTTGCCTTTGCCCACGAGTATGGGAGATGCTTGGAAGCCAAGCATGCCTTGGGATTCCTCATATCCTAGTGAGATGTCAACAAGTTTTTCCTCGACCAAGTGTTATACTTGATGTAATTGATATACTGTGAAATACATTTCCCAGTTTAGAAATTAGACAGCAATTTCTTGTTAGGAAAATTTTTCTGTTTAATTTTACTGTTAATTAAGGTCTTAATTAGTCAAGTAAAAAACATAAAAAAACACAATTAGCTGAGCCAACCTAAATTTGTTACATTCAGGCCTGTCTTCTCAGTTTCATTTGGCCCAAACTTTTATACATTCATTTGTAGGCCCATTGCATTTGAGAAAAAATTAATGTAATTTTACTTATTAACATAAGTTTCTAAATTTATATGTGAGACCCCAGATTGTAATTTATAATTATACACTATATGATACGAGTCAATTAGTGTGACAAATTGATTAAAAACAATGAATCAAGTCGATAAAATTATTTAAAAATCAAATAAAGCTATAGAAAGCATATAAAATTAAAGACTTTTTTTCATCAATTAAGTTTAATTATCTATAATTATATACTACTTGATAGGAGTAACAAAATTTTTTTTTTAAGAGTTCGTATTTTATACAATGAGAGTAAAAATTTTTAATTTCACAAATAAAATTAAAAAATTAATAGATTTTTCATTTATTTTTAATATATTTTAAGGTAATATAATTATCATATTAATCTTGTTTATAAAATTTAAAAACTTAAGATAATTTTTTTTAATGTGATTTTATTTATGGAATTTAATAATTAATTATGCAATAATGAGTAATGAGACTCAATTTTGCAGTTTTTTGAGGGTTTAAATCTCATTTAAATGAAAATCAAATTACTAAAACCATTAATTAACAGTAGTTTTTAATGAGAATTAATTAAATATTATTTAATTAACTCTTAACGTAAAAAAAAAAAAAAAGTTAAAATTGGCTAAAACGTAAAAATAAAAGTTACTTATCTTTAATTTATAGTCTTTTTTTTTTTTGGTTACAAGACAAAAAGAGAAGCAAAAACGTTTAAAAACTATAGCAACAACTGAATAAAAAATTAAATTATGTGTATATATAAATACACACTTTCAATCTTTTTTTTTTAACATTAACAAGAACTCGCAAGTTCTAAGAATCTGTAAAAGAAAAGATTCTTAGAACTTAAGAGTTCTTTGAAAAAAGAAAGATTAATTATTCTTTTATTTCTATCAGAAAGAACAGCCAAATATGGGTCTCCCAGTGGCAGTGGCGGTGGGTACGATGTATGCTGTTCCAACCGCAATGTTGGCTTTCGGCTTTTTAGTGGAATATCTTCGTCCAGACAAAAACAGAGACTTAGAGAGTGAATGTAACATTTTTCAGGGCAGATGGGTGTTTGATGCTCATCACGTTCCCCTCTACACTCCTCAAAGTTGTCCCTTTATTACCAAAAAATTCGATTGCCAAAATAATGGTCGGCCTGACAATGATTACATGAAATATCGGTGGAATCCCTATTCATGCATGCTACCACGGTACTAATTCGTTTATGATATTTTATTTTCTATGAAATTAAGGGTAAGTAAAAATCAATTCAAATCAGTTTTTGACTAAAATTAATAAAAATAGCAATTCAGTTTAATTTTATTTGATTTTAGTTATAGTAATTTTTTGGATTGATTAAATTAATTAAATTAATCAATTTTCGATTCGATTATAATTGATTATTTAAAAATTTTTTGTTGATTCAATTACTTGTTAAATGAAAATCAATTAATTTAATTATTTATTTTTCTAACCGAATCAATTGAATTGATTAATTATTTACTCTTAGATAGAATCTTATAATTTTTATTATGTTAAAAGTAACACATTAAAATTGTAAAGAAATAATAAATTTTGTCTTGGTTTTATTCCATTACTTGATTAGCCCCTATTGCTTTGACGATTCTAAATTTACATTCAATGGGTCAATTTGATGCAATACTTTATTCATGATAATACAGGTTCCATGGTGAAGATTTCTTGATCAGATTTGAAGGGAAGCGAATCATGTTTGTAGGAGACTCGGTTGGGTACAACCAGTGGCTGTCGCTCGCATGCATGCTCCATTCGGCAGTTCCACAACACAAATATGTACTCCACACGAAAGGAGGCCTTCCTACTATTACCTTCCCGGTATAAGACTTGTCTACTTAGCTTATAACGCTGCATTTGAGAAGGATTTTCACAGCGTTAAAAGTACCGTTTTGACATTAAATTTATATATTTGAGTGTTGAAAATTGTTTGCGCGAATTTGTTGGTGGCAATTTCTAGGCTTACAATGTCTCGTTGATGTTTTACCCCGATGATTTTCTTGTTGACATTGCTGTTGGTGGCAAAAATGAAAGAATCCTGAAGCTTGATTCAATTGGGAATGGAGGAGTAGTTTGGAAGGATGCTGATGTGTTGGTCTTCAACACTTGGAACGGGTGGCTTCAAACTGGAAAGAAGCAATCGTAAGCCTAAATCTAGATGAAAAATTGAGTAGATTCTTATAACATTAATTTTATTAATCTTATATCACTGCGACAGATGGGATGTTATTCAAGAAGCTAACGCCAGGCATAATGACATGGATCCGTTGGTTGCTTATGAGAAAGCTCTGAATACATGGGCCAAATGGGTAAACTCAACGGTTGATACCAACAAAACCATGATATTCTTCCAGGGTGTTTCCCCAGACCATTTCAAGTAAGCTGTTAATATTTGTTCAAACAAAACAAATGCCATCCAGGAGATTTGTTTGTTATTCTCAGTATCTGATCTTTTCATTCTTCTTCAAAATTATTACCAGTTCAAGAGATTGGGCAGATCCGAATGCAAAGAATTGTAAAAGGCAAACAAGACCAGTTCCGGGGCATAGATATCCAGGAGGTCCACATCCAGCAGAAGCTGTTCTGGAGAGAGCATTGGGCAGTGTATCCGAATCAGTTTATTTGGTTAATGTAACAGCTCTGTCACAACTAAGGAAAGATGGGCATCCTTCTATCTATGGTAGCAAAGATGTTGACTGCACTCATTGGTGTCTACCTGGACTACCAGATGCTTGGAATGAACTCTTATATGCAACAATATTGGGCTACTAGCCATCCTTTTGGCAATGTTTTTTTTCATGAAGAAATTTACTCAAATGAACAACCACCAAATTAAGATGGCTGGCTGTATATAAGAATAAACAAATGAAATGCTACTTATTATCCACAGTAATAAAATAATACTTCTTCCCCGAGTCTTGACTAGTTGAGTTCAAATTTGTTACTTTTTTTCTTTACTCTTCTTTCTTCTCTAACAAGAATAACAGAGCCGGAATTATATTATAAATGCCTCAAGCCTCCCCTGGGGTGGATCACACAAATTGAAAACGGCATAAAGCAATTGCGAATGGAAGTGAAACAAAGGGAGGTTGTGTTGATTGGGGCATGGGCTAGCGGCTGTTGAAAAAGAGTTGAATTGGACCTTCAATTTAAGGGCATACCTTATAAATACATTGACGAAGACCTCGAAAACAAGAGTCAGCTGCTCCGACAATGCAATCCAAGGTGGTGCTTGTGCTGGTGCACAATGGTAAATCCATTGATGAAACACTTGTTATTCTTGAATACAGCTACGAGTGCCGAAGCAACACTTGTTAGAAGATTAATATTGTGGATGTTAATGAAATTGTTTTTGATTATCAGATCATGCAGGCTATTCAGTCTATCATCTTGTTTTTTAAGGCAAAGAACGCAAGAGAGCCATTGAAGACTACCATGAATTGCTCAAGGTGTTTGAAGCAGGTACTGAGAAGGACTTTCCAGTTAAAACCCCTTTCTTCAAGGGCTACAGCCTGGGAGTTCTTGATACTATCGTCGGGACAGTCGCAAGCAACTACCAAGCTTTTCATGAAGTGGTTTCTCTGACTTTTGAACCAGCAAAACATCCCTCATTTTTCTCATAGGTAACTGCTCAGAAAGAACATCCTCTGGTTAAAGGGATTCCACCACCTCATGAAAAACTGGTTGTTAAGATGAGAGAATTATTTTCAATCTCCTAAAGCTTGTAACACTACGTGAGATACCATTCAGCATTACACCAAAAAAAAAAAAAAAACAAGGCGGCATATTTACATATGGCCTTTCCTCTGAAATGGTGAAATGCAAGTACATTTCCGAATGAATAAGATGCAGCATATTTCATATTGAGGCAATCATATAACTAGTCTCATAATGATAACAAAAACCACTAATCCGCAAATACATTAAATATCCAATTGCAATAGGAAATTTCGGAGAACAGCAGACAAGTGAATGAACAAAACCAAAATTTTAACACAAGTAGATTTGTCGACAAAGAGAAAGAGGTAGAACCCGATTCATAACAGCCAATCTAAAACATAAATCCAAATCTTGATCAGCTTAACCTACAACTCCAAGATTCACTATCATCAATCCATAGCCAAATTTACTCTATTGAAATCTAGCTCTTGGACACTTGCTTTTCCTTTGCCTTCTGAATTTTCAGGACCTTCTTCACAATCTTTTGCTCTTCCACCAAAAAGGCACGAATGATCCTGGAATAATACACAATCAATAAAAGAAGTCTTAAATCACCACATGCGACCAAATACAGCTAACAGAGGACCTAGAAATCTGAGTGTTAATGTACAGACCTTTCCCTAACAGCACCTCCAGACAAAACTCCACCATAAGTACGGTTCACAGTCCTACGGTTTCTTGGCAATCTAGACCTCTTGTACTCAGCAGGCCTCAAATGAGGAATCTATAAAACATAGCCCCCATTTAACCACAACAGAGAAAATGATACTCAAACTAGGATAAACATTGCAATAGAAAAGCCATGAAAGACTGACATCAAAGGAAATGATCACAAAACAAAAGATGCGAATGATCAAAATCAATGAAATGCGTTCAAAAACAAAGATTAGATTAGCCTAAACTTAGAATTACCATAGCTAGATTCTAAAATTTTGTCAAGATGAAAAATTTATAGAAGCTTAAAAAACCAACAAACAAAATCTCCAGTGAATCACAAATCCACTCCCTAAAATCATAATGACAAGGAAACAAACTTGGATTCTATCAAAATCTTTTAAAAAAAGGGTGACATACTCCTTGGATTCTCTTGCCAGTAACAGGACATTTGGGACCACTAGCTCTCTTCTTTGTGGTCTGATACACAAGCTTCCCTCCTATACCAACAAAAACATAAAGCCACCGCCATGTGGGTGCAGCATCAATCAGACACCGCCATCCCAAGAAATACAAAAGAATCAAAATTTGTTAACAGATCTACGTTGGAGAGAGAGATAGACGAGTACCGGGGGTTTTGACGACGCGGTGTTGGTTGGATTTGGTGGCGTAGCTGTGACGCGTGCGGTAAGTGAGCCGCTGAACCATTTGGAGCTGCTCTGTTCTCAATCTCGCTTAGTCTAGGGTTTTTGAGGCGGTCCGCTCCAAAGAGGGTTCTGAAGTTTCTATTATTATGTCTTAAAACGAACTTAAAAAGGTTGACATTATTGGGCTTTTTGTCTGGGTTTTAGTTTTTCAGCCCAAATCTCAACCCAAGATTATTTCATGAATTTGGTGTTACTGGGTTCTAGTTTATCATTGCCTATGCTGATTGGAGGGTTCTGAACCGGCAGAAGATTTCGGAGGGAGATATAGGAGCGCCAATGACATGAAAATTCAGAACCCAGTGAGTCAGTGACATAGTTTCAGCAGAGAGCAACAAACATAGAACAATCAGACTGATGAAGAAAAACATGGAGGAGGAGAAAAGGTTCATTTATATCCCGCCAAGGGTGAAGCTGAACAAAGATGAAGGCGCCATGACTTATGTTGCTTATGCTGATTACTAATCTTACTTCTTGTTCTTGTGCCAGGGTTGCGGAGGTCGACATGCGGATTATGCATGTCGGGGTACTGAGCATGGAGAGGAGATTAGCTTGGTTGGAAATAAGAATCGATCACTGCTTGTATTTGACTCCTAGTGCTACATGTACATTTTGTACTGATGAAGCTGAGCAAGCTGCGGATGATCCTACAATTGGACTTTCAAATCTGAATCGGTTTCCATCCTAGCTTTGTTTCTTATTTCCTTTCAACCATTTCTTTCCTTTTCTATATCTTTGTAAAATCTGGACATTCCTACATCCAATCAGTTCTTCTCATTTTGTTTTACCCAATTCTATATCGCTTGATGCCTTCCAAACCCAATGAAAAGCTCCACCCTAGATTGTTTGATTTGAAGTCTCTTTGTTTTTCATGGAGGCTTTGATGAGGAAGGCTAAGTTGAAAATGATGGAGCATTGCACTTCAAGTTGATTTAATAATTGCATATTTTGTACATGGCGGATCGATCATAGAACATAGCCAACAAATCCAAATTTAGCTTTTGTTAATAATTAAGGTTTTGTGTTTCATCAAAAAGTTGTGTTGGGAGATGTTCAGATCTTGTTCTTGAATCATTTGAATCATTATTAATGGCCGCATGATGCAAGACACACTCAAGAAAGAGACCCTAATAATTCTGTTTTTTTTTTGTTAAATTTTTTGAGAAATTATTTCTATTTAATTAATTAAATATACGAAATTTAAAAATATTTTTTAAGAACAATTATATTTTCAACTTTATTTAGCCAGTAATGCTTTATAATTCATGACCACCTCTAAATATTCAACATGGGCATTACCAATAACATTTCAGATAGAATTGGATTCGGTTTATATTTTTTGAATAATATATAATATTATAAAATTTTAAAATTTGATTTGAATTTATTTTTTTTAAAATTAATTCGATTCAAATTAAATTTTATTGATTTGATTAAATTTATTAATTTTTAAATTTTTATATATTATTTTAATAAAATTTTTAATATAAAATAATTATTTTTACTTTAAAAATTTAAAAATTAATAAAAATATATTAAAGTTTATTTTATTTTTTACATTCCAAATCGATTTTCAATTTTTTTATTTTTTCCCCCTTTCGAAATATAAATCCTAAATTAATAAGTTAAAAATAACAAGAGACTTTAGGCACTTACAGAAAACGAGACGTTGGCAATGTTACAAAGTAGTATTTTATGTCAACTAACCTTTAATTAATCAAAGCATGCTTGCCTTAAAAGATTAGATAAGAATGAAGAGAAAACATTCAAAACATGGACATGTTTAAAGCTATATTATATTATATATTTAGCAAATAAGACATCAAATATTAATCTTGACAACAGAGTTTTCAACAAACTATGGAAAATGTCAAATATATATAATGTCGAATTAAAAGGGTAGGCTCTATCAAGTAGGGTACCAGAAAATTCTGAATAATTCTTTTTTGGAATATAGAAAATATAATGAAAAGATTTGGGGTTTAAGTCAGTCAAGGTGTACCAAACCAAAGTAGAGGAAGAGCCATTATCTTTGAATAACACAAACTTTACAAAGTGTAAACAATTTGTTGCAAAATCAGGAATTCTCCACCAATGAGTAAAAGACAATGATACTATCTGCAGAGGACATGTCCTAAGAGTGATCATACCCAGAATTTGAACACGACCAGTTTTTGGGCAAATTAAGAATTTAAACAATGTTCGGGTCAGTAAAAAAGCAACACAAAGAAGAGATAATGAAACATAGGGAAGGAAAAGAAAGGCAACTATAAACTCTGAGCTAGAAGACAAAGAATTATGTTATAATATCCTTTGTTCTCTTCCTCTTTCACCTTCCAACACTACTGATTTGATATTACTAATCAGCAAAAAAGATAAAAATAGCTCTAAGAACATAACCGCCCCGCCCCCCCCCCCCCTTTCCCCTAAAAAATATCAACAAAAGTACCCACTAAAGCCTGCTGCTTTCTATCAAATTTTCAGAATCTTTTCTAAATTACGATGCAGAAGAAGAAGACCCATTATTGGTAGAAACATGAAGCTGAATGCTACCCTCGTTGTGGATGTCACTATTGGAATCAAAAGCATTGCCATTTCCATTATCTTCATTGTTGCCACTACTGTTGTTGTCAAGACTGAGATTACCAACTGCTAGTATCTCTTTCTTGCCAAAAGTGTTCTTGTTGTTGTGCATCCAAACCTTGAAAACTCCTCTGTCGACCCTAGCTTCATTGCAAAACTCTTCTAACAATCTTTCTTCACTCTTTGGCATCCTCCAACCAAGCCTCTCAGCAAAAGCATGCATCTTTTCTTTTTGTTCCTTGCTAAACTTTGTTCTTGACCTCTTTCTCCCACTTGGGTTGTTGTTGTTGTTGTTCTCTATCCTGCCCACCGTCGGATTCGAGTGGTTGAGGTGATGATGGTACTCATCCAACGGCCCTGAGTTGCCTGTGCTCAAGGCCAGCAGCATGTGCGGTGCAGAAGAGTAGTAGGAGTATGGGACTGGCGAGGGTGGAGTATGGGTTGGGCTAGGGCTCCGACCTGGGCTATGGGTTGGGCTTGGACTTGAGCTACGATTAGGGGGCGGTGGCAGATGGTGGATGAAAGCAGGACCATCGTAAGGGTCACGGCGGTGGAAGTTGCGGTGGCAGCCACAAGCAGCACATTTGAGGGAGGCAGGGTCAGTTGGGGTAGCAGTAGGGCTAGGCATGAACTCTCCACAGCCATCCAGGGCATGTCCACCCAAGCTTGCTGCATGGTTTTTGAGGCACTCTTTGTAGGAAACCACCATTTCCTGATGATGGTGGACGATGATGTTGCTGCTGCAGTTCTTGAGCAGTAGTAAAGACTTGGTCTTGGCTTTGGTGGGCTGTGTCTCTGATGAGGACTCATCTTGTGCGTATGAGGGGTTCTTAGTGTTGATTAGCTCCATTGCTAAAAAAGATTAAAACGTGTATCAGTATGCTTGAGGGGGTGAGAGAAGGACCTTTTTGTGGGGTTAGGATTTTGCTAAGCTGAGACCATCCATTTCTTTTGTTGGCTTTTGTGTGTGAAAATATGAAGAAAAATTGATGGTTTAAGAGGCTGTGAACTACTAATCATGATAATGATGATGTGATAAATGGCAAAGGCATGAGAGGTGATAATGATGACGATAGTTATAATGAGACCTGATTGCTCTCAGCCAAAATTAAAACAGTGTAAAAAATAACACTAATGATAATAAATAAATATCTATCAAACTGTAGGGATATAGAATTAGATGCAGAAGGACCTTAAGAAATTAAAATTACACAAGAAACACACAACAATTCCATCAAATCTTTCAACCACTCACGTTTTCTTTTGCCTTACCTTATCTTCCCCAAATGATTTTTATCTGTCAGTTGGTTTTGAGCAGTAAACATATATATATATATATATGTTTAATTGCAGCAATGCCCTGAAATTCAACCCGTACCAAAACTGCGTACGTGGCAGGACAGCAGCAAAAGGACAGTGTTTTCAAACTCTCTGAACCAGCTCATTTCTCTGCAATGAGATATGCTACATGTGTTGTTGGCCGCTTGCTTCCTGGCTGAGACTGTCTCCACTTACCTCTCTCTCACTCTCCCACTGAGAGAGAGGCCCATTTGTCAGCTCACGGTTGCCTCAGTTGTTTATAGTAATACTTCAAAGATTCGAATATTTATACTTTCTTTGCACGCAAGCAAATTTTCTGCAGAGAATTATGAGAGTAAATAGTTAAAAGAACTACTGTTATGCGTTGAAAGAATGGCAGAAATCGCACAAAAGGCTGAGAAAAAAGCATTCATTCCCTTGTTTTGCAACCCAAGCAAAGACTTGAGATAATTATATTACTGTTTAAGATTATGAGGTTGAGATAAGATGCAAATTTTGAGAACATTTAACTATCGTGTCAATTAGTTAATTAGGGGTTGAATTAAATGATTAAAGTTTAGAATTTTAATGTTAAGTACTTAGATTTCAATCGTTATTATTTTTTATTGATAGGTTATTGGTAATTTTAAATTTTTAATTGAACTATTAATGAATTTATTTTTTTAAATAAAATCTTAATTTTAAGTTTTTTAAATAAAAAAAATTAAAAAAATTTATTTTAAAATATAATTCATTTGATTCAATTTTAGATTAATCAAAATCAAAATTGTTATAAGACATCAAAGGCTTCAAACTAAAAAAAATTTTAAAAAAATTAAAAATGGATTCAAAATTTTTTTTTTATGGATTGATAATTTATTTTGACATTTTATATGAGATAACTTAATTTACTTTTAAATTTTTTCAGATAAAAAAAATGTCAATGAGGCACTTGCACGGATCAATTTAGTTGACAAAGAGAAGAGCTTATAGCTTATATTTTCGAGTAAAATCTTAAATAAATCATGTTGATGTGAGAAAATACGAATTACCAAAAAATTGACAATGAGGTTGATTTAAGACTGTCCTTTGGGAGGGCAAATCCACCGACTAAATCACCCAAGCATGATCATAAATTGACCCCTGCCTTCCATATAACTTAATCTTTCAGGAACTTAATCAGGCTGCTGTTTTACGAACAAGACACAAGGCAGAAGGCATTTTCAGCACAAAAACAGGAAAATATAGAGAAGGAGGGCTGGATTTGGGAGGTTGTGAAAGGCCATTTGTACCAAAGAATTAATGTTAATCACAATTCTCCTTTGCTTCCAAGCATTGTTTGAAAAGCAAAAGCAATATAAGTCAGCGACAACCCATGTTTTATCTCTTCTTAATAAGCCACTTTGTGTTTTTTTTTTCGTCATAAGTCATACATACATGGCGTAATGTTTTATCCTTTTGCCAACATGGTGCTGTTCAGTTGATTCAGATTATGAATTTTGCTTGAATTTGTTCTATTTTCCTCAAATAAGTTAACGTTATAATCGAATAAAATCAAATTGATTAAATTTTATCTTAAGACATTAAGATGTTTAGAAATTCAATCATAACACGATATTTTCAAATGATAAATATTTGTTTATCATGCATCTAAGTAAGTCTAAAATTTTTAAAATCATGAATTTGAATCATGAGATCTATGAGCTTATGCAAATGTTAAATTTTCACATTCATATTTGAAGTTTCTAATTCCTTTAGTACTAATAAAGTAATTAAATATTAATTTTTACCTAATTTTTAATTTTTTTTGTTATCTCCTTAAACTTAACTCAAGCATGATACAAATAATACAACCCCAAACTCAATGCCATAAACAAATTTGTTCATGAATTATGATGTGACACAAAAATTATCCTATCTTATAATTTACAAAGCTTTTACTATTAGTAATTTTATTTGACTTAAATATTATTCATCTAAAAAATTTTACTCATATTTGATTTGATAAAATTAAATTTTATAATTCATGTATTTATTAATATAAAATATTAATAATTTATATATTTATATTATATTTTATATAAAAATTATATATTATAATTTATATAATATGAAAACATAAAATATATTTTTTAATTTATTAAATATATTTATAATTTTTATTAAAATTTTAATAATATTATTTTATATTTTATATTTATATTATTTTTATCATATTTTAAAATTATCATATCCAGATGACTGAGAATAGGTAAATGAACAGTGGTAGTAAAAGATTTTTACATAAATAGAGTTCATGGGCCAATCCAACCTAGACTGACAATGGCTATGAGCAATAAGTTAAAACGTGGGTAGACAAATTAATTGAAGAAAAGGGATGGTTGGAGCATATAATTGATAAGAATGGTACACTTTCTTCCCCCGGCTGTTTGCGTTTCAGATGTGATATTTTGTCTTTTATGTTTTGAGACTGAGGCTAAAGCTCATTCCTCAATCATGCTTTGTTAGAATCCAAGGAACAAATCTAGGCTAGTCCAAATTCAATTCAGCAGAGGCGCACCAAATCTCTCTTGCAAAAATTTGATAAGACATCAAATTTGCTTTAGCCCCCCAAAGCTTTGCCAATTGCAGTTAGAGGGTGGGTATTAATTAATATGTTTTGAAGCATGAAGCATGACAAGATCAGGTGGAGTGATGAATATGAATCGAAGACACTGAATTAAAGCTAAGAACAAGCCTAAAAATAGGAAAGATTTAGACCCCCCAAACTAAAAACTTTTATCAGAAAAACCTGTTAATGGATTAGAACAATGGTCCGGACAATCATGTCATCTCATCGAAGAACTGCACGCGCATTTGGTTAATTACTGAATGTGTGCACAATCTGACACAAAAGTATGCAAGCCATTCTCTCCTACTGAAACCAGATTTTGACCAATTCTTCCATTTCAAGCCTAAATCATTTTTATTCAAGTTCTTACGACTCCTCACCCTCTTCCTTTTTTGCATGTTTCCAGCGCAAAAAAAACTCTTTCCTTTTAAGTATTTTAAATATATGGAAAATCTCACTTGCTTGAATAAAAACTATTTTTGAATTTGATTGCCATAGTTGTCTGTGTAGCTGCAATCACTTTTCTGAAGTTCTAAAAAGAGATTGGTTAAATTGATAAGAATAATTTATATCAACTAAAAAGTTTTGATTCAAATTTAGTTGATGATTTTTTATTAAGATCATTTTAAATATATAATTTTAAATTATTATTTTTAAATTATTTAATATAATACATTTTATTTTGATATGAAAAATTAAATAATTTATTTACTTGAATTGTAGTTAAAAAAAATCACTTTCCTAAAATGAAATCCTCTAAGTCTGCAGCAATAAAGTGACCTTTAATTTGATTTTCTCGCCTTAAATGAGATCCTACCATTGATGTTCATCAGAACAACCAGCAAGAGGGTTACTGCCCCAATAATTGAGGATTCTTTAGAGGGAAAGCACATGTCCTACAGGTCAGCTGAGCCGAATTTGGGGGTGGTTTTTAAGGAGTCAAAGTGCCCAACTTTCTGCGTTTAATTTTCCTGCGGAGGACACATTGAATTGTGTCAACAGTCACCACCCTCTTTAATCTACAGAACCAGATTCCATGGTCCACTGCCCTCTTTTTAAGTGTTTGGGACCCCCACAAACAATATTGTAGAGATGACCCTGACCCTTGCTTCCAGTTTGTATACAATTATCATCACAATTCACAAAGTTTTTATTTTGAATGTTATGGGTGGATCATATCAGCATCCACCCAAATGGATTTATGTGCTTCTATGAAACATTACTCAAGAATATCAGATTAGCAAAGTGAAAAGGGCAAAAAAAAAAAAAATCTTCAGAGCCTGCCAGAACCAAAACGGGGCAATGGATAAGAAAAAAATCCTTCATTATAGAGGATAAGAATATTGCATTATCCTGATCCATTGGATTTTGCTTTCAACATTGCTTGTCAACTTTACTCTAATTTATTCTCTCGATAAAATGTCTCAAATCTTGTAACATAAGAATTTTCTGTGTTGACTTGAGCTGAAAGTTCATCTGTTCTTTTATAGGTGCATTTAATGAGTTCTAATAAAAAAACTGGTTTTTCACATGGGTATAACAGAGCTCAGGTCAGCAACAGTTAAAAGAAATTCCAAAATTTGAGTGAATTTCACACAATACACGTTTTTTTGGTTAATAAAATAAATAGGGGGAATGCTCAAATTTGCATTGGATGAGGCACACAATTCCCCAATATAAAGTCTAACCCAAAAAAATCTTAGTTTGAAGATATGGGTGCCTTAGCAAACCAAGTAGGCCTGACCCTCAAATTTGGTCAATCTAGACTTGGGCTTAATGGTCTAGGGCAAGAGCAACCAACTTGGGCTTCTCATTTCTTTTGTAGGACATGGGATTTCTCCTACTATATCTACAGTTATGTACATCAGTACATGTCTTGTAATTTTAACACATTGCTTAATTCTTTAGGGCAATGACATATTGTGCTACATCTGATGTTTGCAATTCTGTGTTTCCTTGTATAAATTCCATAACCAAAGAACTGTCTGACCAGTTTTTGTTGTAAGACCAATAATTCATTACTTCCAATCATCACCATGGAAAAGGTGGAAAGCCATAAATGGAAGTTTGGCACTCATTCATATTTGTTGCCAACTTGCCATTTTGAAACTCTTCTCCCGTCAAAATTGCTGGAGTTTGAGGTTTAATTGTCTGTTACCGACCTTAAATAATTGTCATGATTTGCTACAAGCACTTCTCCTTTCAAGCTTCATAGCTTGTGTAGTTGAAAAACAGTCATATATATATATATATATATATATATATATATATATCTGAAGCACAAACAGTTCAAAGAAAATCTCTCTGGTCCCAAATCCCAACATTTCAGTTTCTGAAAGCTTGGTTACAACACACTTGAGGAGTTTTTAATTTGGTAAAACTTTAGTCTTTTAGGTAAATATATGCAAATCAAATTTGTTTCTGTTGTGTGCTACAGCATGTATTTATTAAGTGGACATTTTTTCAATCTTCTTTTTTTCAAACTTCTCCTTTAAGATTTGTATATGAAATCTTTTGCATGGAAATATAGTACAATTGAAGTGTCTCAATTATGACCAAACATTTGCTAGAGCTGAAAGGATACAAAAGAATTTGGCTATATTCTGCATGCTGATGCAAACAGAAGTAAAATTTTCTCCAGAAAGGAAAGATAAAAAGAAAAGAAAAAGAAGCTATAAATGTTACTATCATTTTGGAAACCCAAACCATAATCTATATTTTGCTTTCTTCTTGGTCACCTATCAGGATTGCAGCTTACAGTACAAAGATGATGCTGGCTCACTAAACTGTCTACAAGAACTAGGCTTTCTCTAGTAACTTAACTATACACAACCCATCAAAAACAAAAAATAGAGAAAAACCAATCAATCAACCCTCATAAAAAAGTTTCTTGAGATAGCAGATACAGTTTTACCACCTTCTAGTTTTATCTGCACTATGCTGAAGTTGTTTGTTTCTTTCTCGAAGTGTTTGAACTTTGAGGTTATTAATCTTCCTTGTTGAAGAAACCCTTGAATTTTGTCGTCAAGACCTGTTGTGGATAGGATCTGATCCTCTTCTAACTCTTCTTTTGCTTGATTGATTCGGATCAAATGTGTTGTTTACTGGTGCAGGTAAGTTTTTCCCTGTGCCCATTCCCTTCATGTCAGCAGCCTCAAGAATGCGTCGATTCCTCCTGCTAGCTATTCCATCTTCTTCTTGACTATACGTAAAGACAAGGTCTATCCTTCTCAAGCCAGAAACTTTATCTGCTTGAACTGCTAATAGCTCAAAAATGATAAGAAATATAAGCACTCTTTGAGCACTGCAAACCATTTTTTTTTTTTTGCCTACACTAAACTCAAACAAACAATAAAGACTTGAAGTATATATGTTTTGTTTAGAGCAATGAGAGAATAAGCTGGTATGAGATTGTAATCCGTCTATTCTTATGTTCCATTCCTGTAGATATAAGCCTGTTATTTCTCTCTTATTGGATTTGGAAGTGACTTTAAAGCATTATTTAAAGCATGGAGGGACCCAACACTACTAGAGGGAGTTTTAGATTCACCCAAAATATACGTCTGCTATCTAATCTGACATGGATGAATAAAGAGGTTGGAATAATACCCTTGAGAAGCTAAGTATCTTTTTTTCTTTTTTTTTTTTTCATTTGTTTTCCCCTTCCATCTCTATCATTTGAACTGCTTTTGTCTGCCACAACTAGGCCAATCTGGTGTCTTGCACTCAGCCATCTCTTGCCACATCATCCGACCGTTCTTATGTGTACATCCAACTAGGGACCCATTTATTCCAGCCTATCCTGCCTCTTGAACTTTTGGAAAATTACAAGTTTGATTATGCCTTGGCACCTAACATTTTATCAGTGTTACCCGTATCAGTTGGTTCAATCGGGTAAATCTTTTGTTCTGAAAGTGATTTTGAGTTCGAATGGTACTAATAACTCTTGTTGACGTTAATTTCGAATGCACAATTCTTATGATACAACACATCATATCAGAACTAAAAAAAAAATAATATCTGATCACTTTTTCATTACTTGTACTAATCAAGCAAGGTAGTACAAATTATAATGCCATTACTTTGGTATTAAGAAAAGGTGGTTTTTGTTTTCTTTAATGGCAGTGACTGGGCAGATAGAAGCCATGGGCCACCTAGAGCTGCTAGTTTGTTAGCAAGCTAAGTCATTTAAAAGAATCAAAATTGGAAGGGAAAGTGTGTATGTGGAATAGAATAGCCTCCAAAAGAAAGAAACAAACACTTGCTTTATGTCCATTTTTAAGATCTTCACTTTAGAATTCTAAGCTCTCTTCCCAATGCAACAAAATATAACAGTCACTTGGTTTCTTGTGCAAAATGTGCTTCTTTTTGCCTTTTTTTTTCCTCTTCTTTGAGCAGCCAAATTCTTAATCCCCATCCAATGATTCAGAGAAGACCCACTTCAAAAATCAAAACTTCTGTCTTCTCCCTTAATATCTTTCCCTTTATTTCCTTCCTTTTCTTTGCCATTGTTATTGTTATTAAAATATGCAAATATCACATGCAACTTGGAAAATTCTAGAGCATAAACTCTTGCACTTTATCGTGAGTTTTGTGATGGGATTTGATTGTGCCATATGAGATGAAGGTGAATGGTGGCTGGTCATAGTCCAAGCATTCCACTGCATCTAGCTTGAACTTTTTGTTTAATTAATGTGCTTATTCTCCACTTTTCATCCTCCAATTGAAAGTTCAAAGAATCATCAAATTAGGAGTTGCTCTCCTCAACTGTTTGATGGATATAAATGTGAAGAACATGGTTGATGCTAAGTACATGAATAGATGAACTTTGCCTTTGTTTTTGAGTCCATTAATATACACAAATAAGTTGGCATATGTTCTTCGTTGCCAATTATGACTTTGTTGCGTGTTATATATCTTATTTCTTGAGAATATTTAATCTTATTTCTTTCATTTTTCTTGTGCCTATCTTTACGTTATGCATGCGTTTTATTATTGGTAGTGGTTTAAGCAATGTCTTTGCTTGATAAATTGTATGCTCCATTGATTTTAAAGCACTTGAATATTTGATTAGAAATGGCAAAAAATTTTGATTGGATAATAAATTTATATGTATAAAAACTTGAAACTTAGTTTAATTTATTTATATAATTATTTTTAAAAAATAATAGTTAATAATTCAAAATTTCAAATTCAATACTCATAAGCTTTTTTTATTCTTATATTACTATTTTTTTTTATAAAAAATCTGTCATTAATTCATAAAAAAAAAGTGCACAATTCACTCAACTTTTGTTTCATGGTTTATAAAAAAACAAAGTGGGACATGAGACTGCATCGATTTTGGTACGGTGCGTACTTGATTAAGGTTAGATGTACTTGATTAGATACGCCGGTTCTAGCTGTTAAAGGTGGTTTCCAAGAGAAATTTTAATTGAATCCTGGCTTGGCCCTGACCACTTTGGCATGAGGTTGTTTGCTTATTATAATTTTTGTAGAAGGAAATGGCCAAATTACGGCTTTTTATATATTCTCGAGGTTGGTCTTAAGGTTGCTGCTTTTTATTTTCATTTAAACCGAAGGGCAAAGGGCCCATTTGGTTGATCAGCCTCCCTCTCCCTTTACGTTCAGCCTTACTACGCCACCGTGAAAGAAAGAAAACAGCCGAAGTGTAATAAAGCGAGTTAAAGATGATACAATGACTCAGTTTCAAGTTTGATACAGACCGTTCCCCAATTTTGCACTTATTCCACAAAAAACCTTTGAATGTAAATCTTAATTTATATTTTATAACAGATTTTCTCTCTCATGCTAAAATTTGATGAAAATGTTAAAGTCAACATAAGTTTGAATTTAAATTTAAATTTATATATTTTCTTTATTTCTATTAAAATTTAACATTCTTAACAAACTTAACATAACACATAGACAAAATTTAATAATCATTCTGATATCATTTATGATAATTTACACTCAATTTACAAAATATTATTTTAAAAAATCTAACGATTTTATCAAATAAAAAATACTTCATAACTTTATATTTAAATTTTAATTTATTTATTATAATAAATCTTTAGAAGATCTCGATATAGGATTGAGATGTCATAATTTTATAAATCAATTTCAATTTGTTAACATCATGATATAAGTCCCCGAACCACTATGCTTAGAGCCAAAAAAATTTTTTAAAGATAAAAACGAAATTAATGATATTAAGATTTGAAGATAAATCATAAAGTAACTGAACTAAACCTTGATTTTTTTTTCCTTATCTTTCGATACGTGTACAAGCACTAGAAACAGAATCCAAAAGGAAAAACTACAAAATGGAATGTCACCAAAACCATATGTTAAAAGGCAGATGCTTAAACTACCTTTACTTTTAACATTGTTCCCTTACATCATAATCAGGCCGAGGGCATGTACGAATATATGCTCACGAAAGAATGCCACTAAATACTGTGAGGCGCATTTGGGATTTTAAAAATGTGGAAATGGGATTCGCATTTCAATAATGGCTATTAACCACAGGCACGAAAGATGCTACTACAGATGAGTGAACTATAACAGTAATGACAGAGAAAGCAGTTCACTATTTCACGAACCGGATAGCTCATACATGCATATAGACAATGATGGGTACAAGATACGGAAAAGACAAAGAGCCACCCAAATTTTTGAACAATTCATTGAAACAGAAAATAGTAGAGCTTGAAATCTTTCTCAACTATCTATTTGGGATAAAAAATAAAACATTTCTAGTTTACTGACAGGGGAGCCATTCTCACTTGTTCGTCGACTACCAATATAGTGTCAGTGCAGGACTTCAGGTCTCCAATAAGTCAAACACTTTCCTGGTGGGGAGTCACTGCAGGTCCTGATGCTATGGTAAAATGCAAACCTCTGCGTTGCCCAGATTGTAGGACAAAAGCAACTTGTGTTGCAGCCAATGCTGCTGCTTCCTGACATAAGATAGTGGGCACAAGCTTCAATATCAACTCAAATACAAAACCATGTTTATTATGATGTATGGTTTCAGGATCTGAAGAAAAGCCAGAAGATGGATAGAAAAAACGAAAAAAAAGGAAATGTTTCTTTAACTTGCTGCTTTTCCTTGCTTCCTCTGTAAGAGAAACAAATATGGGGTTTCAAATTGAAGTAGAAGTAATGAAATAATAACCTGTCTTTGCCTTCGTCGCTGTAATATACTGATGGCCCAAGCCATGATGTAGCATGGCAAGAGAAATCCAGCAGCTCGAAATAAGAAAAGCTGCAAGAAACCAAGCAGTTTAAGAAAAATGGCTCCACGGTATGATGATTGTAATGCTAAATGCTTGAGAAGTGCATAGGTGAAATACGAGAATGCAGCTTTAGGTAAAACTTACAGAGAAAAAAGTAGACACATCATCTTCTGTATCAGCATCTGGTACAGTCAATGCATGCCGCAATAGAAGAAGTGCCATTAACTGACAAAAATGAAAAAAATAAATCAATCATTTTAAAAATAAACCCTTAGTTACATGGGTCACGTAAGAAAATGAACCTTTTTAATTTAAAAAATAAATAAATAAAGGAACCAAAAGAAAGTTTATTAGCATGAAAATTGTCAACTGATATGATTGTGGCACAGGCAGAATCTGGGTGGTTTTCCTTCAGACAGCAAGTTGGGAGCTAAGGCCCTAAAAGGATGGTGTAAGTTGGTCTCACCGCTGTTTATACATAACATCCCCAGCTAGAAGGAGAAAAAGGAACCAAAAGAAAAGTTGTTGACATGAAAAATCAACTAAGATGAAAGTGCCATTGTGGCCCAAGTGGAATTGCACCACTCCTCTTGTGGTTCAAGTTTCCAATCAGATGGAGGGATGTTGGGAGCTGAAAACCCAAAAAATCATGTTAAACTGGCAAAGTATGTTTCTTCACTGTTTATGCAATAATTATCGCAATTAAAGGAAAAAAAGGGAGCAAAACTATGTGCTAAGAACATAAAGATATTTGAGTTAAATGCCAGACACCTTAGCAAACTCTTTTCTCCAAATCAATTTATCAAAATGTTTCCTTGACACATGAATATTATATTAATAAATAGAATTGATACTGGTCCAATTTTAGGCAATTAATGTTAAACTCACTTAAACAAGGATGTTCCGCAATACATGTTAAACATGACTAGAAATTCAATATGTCCAGCAGATTCATAAAGAAAAGCTTACAATTAGAGCAGCTGAACGACAAAATGCAGCTCCACTGGCATTTGATGCAGCATATTCATCATACTCAGTTTCCAAAAATTGGCGTTCTGCCTCTGCAATGGCCAAGAGGCGAGGATCATGCAAATCCAGCGAGGTGCCAGAGATTGTCCATCCTCCACTACAACACAGATACCCAAATCATTACAATGGAATCTTCCAAACAGATCATACAGAATTCTAGCAAATTTAGATCAAAGTCTCTGATAGACATTAAGCTTTATAAATCACACGGCACACATTCAATTTCATCAATACAAAAAGTTCACCAACCACTAGCCATTGCATAAAAATTGTTACATCTGGGAACATCAAGCTTACCCAATATCAATAGCGGTTTCTTCAGCTTGAGGGCGAGATGGAGCAGTATAACCGTGTTGATAAGGCTGCACATCATATAAAAAAGACAGGCTATATCAGCAAGGAGCCACCACAACCAAATATCAATAGCCTCTAAACAGAATTAATAATTTAACAATAGGCTTGAACAAATGTATAAATGTAGCTGACATAAAGGAAGCTCATATTGAACCACTCTTGTGATCAATTATGAGAAGTATAAATATATTGGAAAGCAATCTACATGATAAGCCACAGGTAAAAAAGGAAAGGCTTTTCCCATCAATCAAAATGCTAATTAATATTCTTCCTAATAAAAGCAGTTGATTCACCCTCTTCCACAACCATGTGCAATTACATACTTCGAAATCCACAAACTTTCCATTCTTTACTGACACAAAAGGCCTAAAAGTACTAGTTCAAAATCTTGTAACAACTTAAAAGGAGGACATCAAATTGCATGTATGAAGGCGATACATATTTCTTGCAAAATAACATCTTTGGTAAAGGATTAAGGCAAGTAGATACCTGATGACATATCTCGCAAATTATATCTCCTTTCTCATTGCACCAGTGCTGCACGCACTTCCTATGGGCATACTGCAATTCAAAACATATACAATTCAATAAATGCTTATAACAAAAGTCAGTTTATATAGCACCAGAAATACCAAATTGCCAACGCTTTAGAAAATGACATTTTATATTTCTATAAGGAAAAAATGTTCGGGATGAATTTATCATAAAAATAAAATAAAATGAAATTACCTTGAGGCTGCCACTGCAGGCACAAGGAGTCTCAAGATTCTTAATGGAATCTTCCTCCTGACAAATGCGGCACTCCGCTGCCTGAATCAGCGGCTCCTCCTCGTCCTCCTCACCTCCTCGGACAACCTCCTTCTCCTTCTCCTTCTCCTTCTCCCCTGGTGAGCACGACGACCCCGAAATCTCCGTCGAGGGACCAATCTCCGACTCCAGCTGCTGTAAAGGCACTGGCCTCACCAGACGGTCCACATACAAAACCAGGTGATCGCTCATAACTTCTACAAATTTAACAAAAAAATTAACCTTTTTATATATTTTAATTAATTCAATCGAAAAAAAAATCAACAAAATGATATCAAAAAAGAAACCCGGTATCGCGCTTATTAAAGCAGCGGATCGGAGGTTTCCGACCACAACTGATGACAGAACAAAAGAAAATCTGAAGGAATATAATAACAAAGAAAAAAAATTTAAGGAAATATTAAAAGAATTTACCTTTAGCGGAAAAAATGGGGGATTGTGTTTGATTTAGGGAACGAAGAAATAGGAGAGAATTTTTCTAATTAAGCTGTTTCTGCTGCGAACTCGTTTTTTTTTTTTTTTTTCTAAATTTTCGATGATTGGAGTTTTTGTTGGATTTTTTTTTTTTATTTCAAAATTTAAGAGTTTGGCTATTTATAATATATGTTTAAAAATATTGAACAAAGCCCGGGGATCAGAGGGTAAGAGACATGCTGACGTCAATCGAAACGGCTCCAAGGGTATTTTTGGAATTCCATTTGGCATTGCGCGTTATATGACCCCATTTCTCTCTTTCGGTGGCTATTTGGCAGTTGGCAGTGGCAAACCACCGGACACCGGTTATGCATTCACTCAATTATTTTACTTTTTTTTTTTTTGTAATTCTTTATTATAATGTTAATAAATAGGTTTGTAAACGAATGATCGTAAATATATATATTTTTATTTATTTATTAAATTTAATAGATAATTTTGAAAAATGTTCTTATATTTATTTATTTAAATATGAATAAAAATTTATTGGATTTATTTATATATGTGAATATATCCGTTTAAAGTTTATTTGTTATTTGTTTATAATAATATTAATAAAATTATTTTTTTAATTTTATTTTAAAATTTATTTTTATTTATTTAATTATAATTTATTTATTATTTATGAATATAAAGTATTATTTTTTAACTTCTTGACTTAGTAGCTTAAGAAGACATGTAAAACATCCAATGGATTAAAAAAAAAAAAATCAAAGCATTAACTTTATGCTTTTTTTTTTCTTTTTTTTTTTTCTAACATCATAGATATGTTTAAATTTTATTATATATAATAGTTGTAATACTAACTAATATATTGTGGTCTGGTAATCATATAAAAGGGCATTTGACCCACTTGAAACGTTATCATTTTCTAAGATAGGGATGCATGCCATTTTCCTTATTATTATTATTATTATTATTATTATTATAGAATTGATCAAATTGGATTTGATTGGAATTGTTTAATTAAAGTTACCACTTACTGTTACTATCAATTCCAAAATGATGAATGTTCTAGTAAGCAACGAGACTACTAGATTTTTCCTATAATTTGATCACTATAATTTAAAAAAAAAAAAAATTCAATCACAGTAGCCCCACGAGTCCAACTAGAGCCCATTTGTCAAAATTTTTTTTAAACATCAAAACTAATCGCTTCGATATTAACCAGACAGCAACTTTCCAGTTCGATATTAACCAGACAGCATTTTCTACGGTTGGAAATGCATAAAGAACAACATTTGAGACATGAACGTATTTTCATAGCAAAACACTTTAGACAACAATTGAGGAAGCAGTGATACAGATCTGAAAATACCCTGTCACAACTAATCCATGACACTCCTTATCTAATCCTCTAGTGCAAGTAAAATGATGAAAAGAAAAAGTGGTATAATGAGCTATGGATTTTAGTTCCTGGTAGACACAAATTGGGAATCTGATTTTCTATCCTAGTTCCACACGAAAAAAGTTACAACTAAATCCTATGTTGAAACTCAATGACATACAATCTTACATCGCCATGGTGGCCTTAAGGTGCAGTAAACCAAGGAAGCATGAAAATAATACCATGAGTCATTTCACTCTCCTCCTTTACTGCAAAATAATTAGGATGGCATTCGATCTCGACTGTACAATGCTATATCAACTTCTACTGATACGAGTAACTATATATCGTCCTTTCTGTAGATCATACACTGTCTTCAACTGGAGTTTCCTCCATTTTGATATAGACCAAGCTATGAACGTTAGTATTGCAGAAATGGCAATAATGGAAAGTAATGTGGGTGAATCATTGCTGATAATGGTGGTTATCCAGGCAGGTTGCTTCACATCCTAGTTGGATGTGCTTTGCAATATGAAAGCTCCCAAGGCCCAATCCAGGGGCATATTTTCCACCTGATTAGCGAAGCTGATCCTGTTTAGGATTCAATTACCATTAGTAAAATTTCGGTTCAGAGAATGAATAAAGCTATTGATAAACTGCATGGTCTGTTTGCTTTTGACGACACTTGTGCAATTTCACAGTAAAGCAGGAAATATACCTTTCATCATCCAAAGCAATTTCAAGGCTATCATGAAGTAAGGCCACAATATATGCTGAAGAAAAACAATAGCGCAACAGATCTTCCTCATCAAGTGATTGGTGTTTCTTCTTCAATTTTGACCAATCCTCTCCACAGAAATGTTGCCCCGCCATCATTAGATCAGAAAGAAAGGCCCTTTGGCGCAACCTAAAGAACTAATCCAGCAGGAGAAGGTAAACAAAGAAATGGAAGGCTTTTAAAAAACAGATACTCAGTGCATCCAAGCATACCTTAAATGGTTTTAGGATGTATGCTTATTTCTCCTAAAAAGATCCATGTAAGGCATGTAAAAAGTGGGCGGAAAATTAAGCAAGCATAAGCCAGTAAGAAAAACAAAGATAATAATTATACCTTTGAGGTATAGAAGAAATTTTCAGTTGCCAAAAATTTCCCTCGAAGCTTGGGCATGAACACTGACCCCAAATAACAGTGATCGTAGGAACATTTCTCTGCATCTCAGAATATATAGTAAGTATTATCCCATGGCACAAGATAATGCAAATAATGTGGAGGACAAGGTAATTCTAAGAGAGTTTGTAACCTTTTCCTTTTTGTAAGAGCATTAGTGCAGCAGATCTGCACGCTGAGAAGTTACCCCTAGCTTGAAGTTCAGGAATATATTTATTTTTTTCAGCCATAGAATCTAGCGAAAGCTTCAATGACCCAGGCATGTACCCTTTCAGTGTACAAGGATCTATATACATTTCCTTATGAAGAGACTCAGCTGCATTGAGTTAAGAAAAAAATAATGAGCTATACAAACATAATATAGTAACTAACTAGTAACTCCACGCCATCACTATCAAAGGTAACAAAGATCCTATGAAAATATCCAATGAAAAAAACTTTGATTCTAACAACCTTTAACGCCAATTATGAATAGCCATCAATGACCAAATGTAAAAAAGAAAACAACTTTTAGAATTAAACATTCAAACCCAGCCTGAATGGTCAAAACCGTAAATATATAGACAGGGCTCATACTCAAGTTTAGATCTCTTCCTCAAGTTTAACGTTGCAAGACTCAGAGATGATTAAAGTACACGGCATGACTGAAATTCCTACTTTGATTTCAAGGCACAATAAATAACTTTTAAGACCTCTTCAAGCACTTCTAAGCCTGCAAAACCTCTGCAGAAAGCGAAGGAATTGAAACATACTTGGACTGAAATCTCCCTCAATAAGTGATTCCCTCAATAATTCATGTGCAACATTCTGAAAAAATGACAAAAGTTAAAAGCTCCTATATCAAGTTTGGATTTATTGACAGAATCAGTAATGATATACTTCAAAAATCACAATGCAAAACCATATTGAAATAATACTAAAATTAGTTAGAAGTTAGATCTGCAATCATCATTATTACTTTTTAAGGAATGAAGTAAAACACTTGGCAGAAGGACAGTCATTCAGTCATTTCTACTTCCAGAATTTATGAACAAAAAATCTTCTCCGTCCCTTTAATTTTAACCATGCAAAACATACCAAAGCATTTCACTAGGAACAAGAATAATTAAAAAACCCAACCATAACTTTTGTGGAAAGATGCCTGCATTAGGAACAGACCTGCATAGCAACCATAACCATAAAAAATGTAGATGAATAGCTATTGATGCAAAGGTTACCTGGCCCAAATGAAGAAAGCTGTGGCTATAGAGGCTGTAAGTGAAATTTCCAAACTTGACGGAGTGTGAAAACTCAGAAGGCATAGGCTCACTTGAGAAAAAGGTTACCTGAAATATAAGTCTAGCAGCCAAGTTAATGGTGATCTTATATGTGCATCTCAACTTGGACATTTTAAGAGCACCAAGCCAAGGACATAAATGCCATCATGCATTTGCCATTAGATGAGAAAGTTATAGTTATAGCTTCTTGTTTCTTTTAAACTTTTTCTTTCCTCTTTAGACAATGCAGATAGTTTTGTTGCTTTAAGTGGCAGTGATATCTTTTCCAACCATAAATTTTTGCATGTTAATTCTTGTTCCTTGAAATAAAATCAACTTGTTGTCTTTCTGGATAACCAACAAAATGTAGTTCATAGCTCACATCACTACTTGCTTCATGATGTATACGCTCAATAAATAAAGCTTTCTGGTGGATTATGAACTAATTTGAGATATCATTTCTCAAAACACAAGGAGCTTCAAGGAACTCTAGTATGAGGTATCACTAATTAGAAGCTTGAATGACTTGCAAATTCTAGTGTGGAAGAATCCAATTTAACTCTAACAAAACACTAAAGAAAAGATTCCAAATTAAAGAATATAGAAGCAGGGAAGACTAAAGATGAAAACGAACCTGAGCAGATGCCCCACCAAGTTCAATAATTCCAGTTGTATGCAGAGGATTACCTCCAAGAGTTCCAAGTGCATAGTTTGCAACAATCCAAGCATACACACCTTCATCAGAGCCTAAGACATCATAGCATCCAAAACTTAGCTTCAAACATGTGGATCAGGGATTAGAAACTAAAATACAAACATAACAACTGTAAGATTTCCAGTATTTGACTACAAGAACTAATCTTTTCTAAGCCCTGGATACGTAACAAATTATACACTAATATAGCAACCAGACAAAGGATGGAATGCCAACATCTAGAATATCTTAAGAAGTTATCGTTATCATTTTTGTTGGTTCTCCCTATATGATATATGACTTCAGCCTAAATGGACCAAGACAGAAGACCACTGTCTTACATTAGAATCAAGATAAACTATTATCCTCTTTCCATTTCTCACATTTCGCTTTTAAGACAACATCAAAGTTTTCCAACTTTGGCTTACCAAATTCATGCAAAACATGGTCAAGCACTCAAATGGCCTTGTCACTTCCATCATATATGCCTGAGAACAAGTCAAGTACTCAAAATTAAAACATAATCTCTTAGTTTTTGCCATTGCTCATTTATATGAGCAAATTACACCTGCATGGCTGCATCCGATTAGCATTTCTAGGCCTAACCATACAGCATTATCAACTTCCAATTTTATCATCCAAAGAACTTTTACCACAAAGATTCCCACATTGCCTCACAAAACTCACTAAAAGCAACCCATATTGTATTACCTGTAATAACGGAAGCCCAGTCGTCATGAAACTTAAACCCAGAAACCCTAAGCACCTTCCTGCACTCCTCCAAAATCCTCTCCTGCACATCAACATCCAACAACCTCAACCCCGCCGTCGCCATTAACCTAATCTCCGTCTCTGCCCAAAGTTTTCTCGGAACTTTCCTTCTCCCAAACTCCAAAAGCTCTCTCAACGAATCCGCAGCTCCTTCCGGATCCTCCAAGTACGCCGACAATCCCGGATTCACCCTCAAGCTCTCCAACCCTTCTTTAAAATCGAAAACCGGGTTTTTGGTTCCATCAACTCTGTACCCAAGCACGTGAATCCTCGTCCCTGTGCTTCCGCCATCGATTATGATTGCGTACTTTATGGAATCTTTAGAGGAGAAACGGAAAATGCAAATAAAAACTAATAAAGCGAGAGATATGGCAATTGAAATTGCGACGAAACATTGGGTTGGCTTGGTTTGACGAGGGTTTCGGTAAAAAAGAGCGGTGGATCGGGTGTTGGTTCGGATTTGGAGCTTAATTGGGTCCATTTTAAGTGGGTTGGTGGTGGATTTTGATTTCGATTCGACCCGTTTTCGGGCAAGCAATCGTCGCATCAAAAGATCAACAAATTGTTGGGGAAGGAGCATATGATTGTTAAAACCACTCAAAATTTTGTTCTTTTACAAAAAAGAATTGCAATTTTAATCGAAATTGAAGAAAATAAATGCATATAATTTGAAAGAATCATAATTTTTTTTAGGGTTTTTTGGAATTGGGATTAATTTGGAGAGGGAGAGAGCTATGATTCAAAGGTTCCAGCCCTCCCTCTCCTATGAGAAATTTTTTTTTTTTTTTTGAGTTTGTGTTTCAACATTGAACAGCTTTTCTATGCTTTCCAAAACCGCACGGAAACCTCTCCGGTTCGGTCCGATTTAGAAAATTGTCTTCACCGATTTGGACAGATCGCCCCTTGTTTTTTTCTAATTGTAAATTGTTCCACAAGTCTTTTGGTTTAATTGCAGAAACGCCCTGTTTTTTTTGTCCAACTACACTGTAAATTGTAAACCATTAGAATGGATATGGTAGCCCAAGCTTTTTACTTAGGATGCGCAGTGCTACAAGGAGATTTTGCGAGACAACTGAATCATTATGAGTTTATTATGTAATAAGCAATCAGACAAGCAACAGATTAAGCAACCAGTGATCATTTCCCCTGCGATTACGGATTAGGGTCTAAGTTCCAAAATATCTTTGCTGTAAAATAGATGTAAATTTATATTGTATAAAATATTAAAATTCGTGTATTTATATTATATTTTATATAAAAATTACATATTATAATTGATATCGATATAAAAATATGAATTTTTTTTTATTTTATTAAACTTATATATAGTTACTATTTTTTTTAAAACATAATTATTATTAAAATTTAAAATCGTGTTACCTTCATATATTTTTTTCGAATGATTTTTATATTATGTCGTTGTACTTGTATTTTAAATTATCAAATTTAAGGTAAAGAGAGGGGGACAGGTCATTTATGATTGAATGCATTTCCATTTGAAAACATATCACAAATTTTCCTATGATATCTGTCTATGTTAAAATCTAATTAACATATACAGGATGACCTCAGGATGCAGCTTGTAGCTCCTTGATCTTCTGAGTTCTAACCTCAAACTTCAAATGCATGGCAATGACTTCTTTCAAATCTCATTGTTTTCTCCTGCATCCAAATCAAACTGAAAATTTTACGGCAGATAATCAATGTAACAGACATTAGATAGTAGATTTATGTGTCCAGAATTGTCCACATGTACTTATGATGTTAGATGCTTCAAGGTAGATATTCGAACCCTTCCGTACGAAAGCTGAAGGATTTACCTCTACTTTCTTGGCCAAAAAATCAGAGCTGAACTGGCATATTAATTCTTCTGAAACTGATGCATCAACAGTATTGCTGTTAATGAATTGGATAAACTAAATGATGTTTATGGCATTAAAAGCTAAAAATATATGCAGGCATTATGGTTATGCAGTATTCCAGCATTTCTCTGTGTAACCAAATCTGCATTTCCTAAACAAACTTTGCGTCTTACTTGGCTTAAGCATAGTCTTTCTTTGCTCATTCATTGCATTCTTCATCACATCATATTCATTTATTCATATGGTAATAATCATTTTTCAGTCTTTCTGCAAATTGGAGTTGTTTAATAACCATCATCGCTGAGATTCAAACTTCCGAAATGTTTTGTTCAGTAAGCAAAGATCAGTAAAACCATAAAATCTTAGCAACAAACAAAGAAGATTGAAAATATGCTTCAAATTCACAAGGCATTCAACGTGCAAAAACAATTAGCTTTAAAAATAATGAGAGCTGGATGAGAGCTGTGCCACTATCTGTAGCCATAACATGGTTAACATTTTCTCACAAATGTTGAGCCCCCGAAGTAGAATCTAACACTGATAATGGAAAATTAGTGACATAATATGATTCATATACCTGTTAAATTGAAACTAACCTGAAAATTTTTCAATTTTTTGAAGCACCAACCTTCATGATCTAGAGGGTTTAGATGTACCGTACGTAAGTTATCCTTAGATTCTGACATTAGTTCAGCAGAATTTTCTAGGATCAATAGACGGTTATTGCCTTCAACCAATAGTCATTCTTCACTAGGACGAACTCTTTCATCTTAATTTGTCTCCTTACCTCACACCCATGAAGAGATATTTCAGCAGTTTGGCTACCATTTGCATGAACTGTAGCATCTGTAGCATCCCATTGATGTGCAGTTGCATTCCATTGGTTCTTCCTCCAACTTCCCTGCTCAAGCTGCTCTTCTGGGGCAGCCTGACTTAACCTTTCTTTCTCATATTTGAACACCACAATCTTTTTTTGTTGTGAAACATTTTGGAAACATTGCCTCTGTTTGATGGCCATTTGAATTGTTTTACCTCCTGGCGCATTTTAGAGTGTGTCAACTTCTACCAGAAGAATGTACAATTTAGTTACGTGGCATCATATGGATGGTCGTTACTTTTTAGTTTAATATTCATGAATGCATCTGATTACTATAATTTTCGTCAGTAAGTAAAGCTCTTATCTTTGCTTGTTTTGGCTTCCCTCCACGAACCTTTGAAACAAAATATTTCCACTTTCTAGCTTTTATTTGTTGCTATGGCCGCTGCGCCATCTCCAATAACGTCAATTTCTCCTTCAAAATCAAAACCGAATGGAAAATAATCAAGATTTAGCCCATAAAACCAGCACAAAACCCTCTTTCTCTTGTACCCAAACGCACCTGTTTGAAAGAACTAAAGCAAATCCAAGCCCCTGCAATCAAAACCCATCTCCAAATGACTTCAGTGTCCTCACCAAGCTCCTCAATTTCTGTACCAAGGACCCAACTTTCATCTCCATGGAATATGCCCAGAAACTATCTGAACCTGATATTATCCTTTCCAACACCATGGCTCGTGGCTATACCCGTTCCAATACCCCAATCCAAGCCATTCCCCTCTTTTCTCAGCTTCTTTCCTTTGGCTTCCTACGTGATGACTACACTTTCGCATCTGCTCTTAAAGCTTGTTCAAGTGCTAAAGCCTTGGAAGAATGTAAACAAATTCATTGTCTTGTCTTTAAACTTGGGCTTAGTCATAAAATTTACATATGTCCAAGCCTTATTAGTATGTATATCGAGTGTAATGATGTGGATTTGGCTCGCAGAGTCTTTGAGAAGATGTTGGATCCTTGTGTTATTTCTTATAATGCTATTATTACTGATTATGCTAAATGTAGCAGACCAAATGAGGCCTTGTCGTTGTTTCGGGAATTGCAAGTTAAAAGTTTGAAGCCTACTGATGTTACTATGTTAAGTGTCCTGTCTTGCTGTGCTTTGTTAGGAGCCTTGGATTTGGGGAAGTGAATACATGAATATGTTAAGAAACATGGCTTTGACAAGTATGTTAAAGTAAGCACTGCGGTTATTGATATGTATGCAAAGTGTGGGAGCTTGGAGGAGACGCAATTTGTGTTTTTGAGAACACGAGTGTGAGAGATACACCAGCTTGGTCAGCGATGATTGTGGCATATGCAACTCATGGGAAGGGTTATAAAGCCATTGAAACGTTTGAAGAGATGAGAAAGGCGGGGATGCAACCTGATGAGATCACGTTTTTAGGCCTCTTATATGCTTGTAGTCATAATGGACTTGTGGAGGAAGGTTGGAGGTATTTTTCTAGTATGAGTTATAAGTACAGCTTTATTCCCGGGATTAGGCATTATGGATGCATGGTTGATTTACTTGGTTGTTCATTGATGAATTGGCAATCAAGCCTACACTAATATTATGGCGAACATTGTTAGCTGCTTGTAGTAGTCATGGTGATGTTGAATTGGGAAAGAAGGTGATTGAACGAATTTTTGAACTAGATGACTGTCATGGAGGAGATTATGTAAATCTTATCCAACTTGTGCGCAAGAGCTGGGAGATGGGAAGATGTGGATTTCCTAAGGAAATTGATGAAAGATAGAGGGATGGTAAAGGTTCCTGGTTGTAGCTCTCTAGAGGTGGACAATATAGTGCATGAATTCTTCTCTGGAGATGGGGTGAATGTTGTTTCAACATCTCTTCATGAGGCACTCAATGAGTCAATGAAGGAATTGAAGATGGTTGGCTATTTGCCTGATACTTCTATAGTTTTTCATGGAGTAATGCGAGAAGAAGGGAAAGAAATTTCACTTAGATATCATAGTGAGAAATTGGCCATTGCATATGGACTCCTAAATACTCCCCCTGGATCGACAATTCGTGTGGTAAACAACCTACGAGTCTGTGGGGATTGCCATGCTGCTGCTAAACTTATATCGCATATCTTTAATAGACAGATAATTCTCGGAGATGTCCAACGATTCCATCACTTCAGAGATGGAAAATGCTCCTGTGGTGATTTCTGGTAACAGGGTTTATCACTAGTGAAGGACAATTCCTGGTGTTGCCTTGTGAGAGAATTACTACCAACTACTACAGTGTTTTAGCCTTAGATCATTAATTGTCATGATTTGTGTCATGCAAGAAGGATGAAAGGCTGCCTAGGTTGATTCCAGTTATTTATCTTCCATAAGCCATTTTGGTCAGTGACAAAGTTACCTACTGTTGTACAGCATTCTGAGGGTTTGAGTAGGTAGAAAATATTTGATTCCAAGTTTTGATTTATACTCAACAGTTTAATATTACTTCTTCACGTAGTGTAAGTATTGAATCAATTTCAGAGCGTATAGTTTCATAGTCCACCGAAAAATTTTTCCAGTAAGAACTTTTATAGAAGATATCGGATATTGGCAATAGGATTCTGTTGAAATCACTTATTTTGACCGCCAATGACAGCTTCATTTCAGAAGTTGGGGGCAGTGGAGGAGACAATTGGAGTTGTAAGAGTCGAAGTTCCCATTGTATGCACTCGTTAATATAGTTGCTTATGTAAAGTCTAATCTTTTTTCATTCTAAACTCCTTGATTCCGTGAATAATATCGTAAAGGAATTTGTGAATTATACAATGAATAATTCTTTAATTCCGTTAATGCACTTAATATCGTTGCTACAATTCTAAGATACATGAATCTTGATAATCCATGGAATTAACCCAAACTTACATACAAATTGCCCGAGTAAAGTTTACATTTATGGATTTTTGTTTTCTTGGGTACAATGTTCATAAGGGCCTCAGGCTGCCTCCATAAGAAAAAATTGCAGGTGAACTAATGCTGAAGACGAGAAGAAGTTGAAAGCTACTCCATAGTGTGTACAGTAGACTTTTTTATCCATGAATGTGAAAGCAATTGCAGATGTGATGCTGCAGATGGGGAAATAAAAAGATATTCTAAACTAACAAGTAATAATTGATGATGCAAAGTCTAAAAAAATGGTTGATTCAATTTGGCAGCTTTGCCGTCTCCATCAAAGTGTCACTTGGTTTTGCAGGTAGGATAGATAGCATGACAAAACAAATCTCAAAGAATAATATAAAAACTTAAGACTTTTATTTTGACTCTATTGATAGATATAAATGTGGTAGCTTTCACATTCTCACCATTAAATGCATTAAAATTGTTTAATTGGCCCAACCATTTCAGCCAGGCACCCACATTCTAACACATTAGTCAAAATGGGGCTTAGTATGAACATGGGATTGAGTCGACACATTAATTTCAATAATGGGAGAAACGTTACATGCACTGTCACCAACTCAGCATTTGCGGCTCCGGATTCCTTGTACCCAGCCTTCCATTTTTGCCTATAAAACAGTTATCAACGTTGGATCATTCTCAAAATTGTGAAACATCAATTAGTAGAGAGAAAAAGAGCAGGCTGAGAGAAGAGGAGAAAAAAAAATGAAGTCCAAGTGCTTTGTCTTGATCAATCTTTTGGTTTTACAGTATCTGGTAGTTCTTTGTGTTTCACAGGATTTTGATTTTTTCTACTTTGTTCAACAAGTGAGTAGTTTGATTGTTAATGAGAGTTTTCTTTTGTCTGGGATTCTTTTGATTTTTAATTTTAATTACTATGTGCATGCAGTGGCCTGGATCATACTGTGACTCAGACAAGAATAGTTGTTGCTACCCTACAACAGGGAAGCCTGCAGCTGATTTTGGCATTCATGGGCTTTGGCCTAATTACAAGGATGGATCATACCCTCAAAATTGTGATCCTAACAATCCTTTTAATGAATCTGAGGTAGTTAAACATCCTAGCAATCTTGATCTTATGATTCTGCTGAGATAAAGAATATGATGTTGGTGTTCTTGAGTTGGGTCTAGAGTCATCACATTGGTTTGTCCTCCCAATGAGTTGTTCTGAACTTCTGACTATAAAACCAAAGAATCTAGGCCGGCCTTAAGTTTGTGACAAACTACAGATAATTTTGATTGGGTAAATTGCAAAGTGGGTTACGACATTTGACAGAAGTTTTAGAAGCAAATTTAATGCTCATGAATGACAAATTTACAACTCCTCAAGGAATTTGCTTTTTACTTTCTCCACAAATTTGGCAGAAAACTTGCTAATTTCCTCTTAACATATTCAAAACTGTTTGGCACTGTGCAGGTTTCAGACCTCATTAGTAGCATGAGAAGGAATTGGCCATCATTAGCTTGTCCAAGCAGCAATGGAGAAAGCTTTTGGTCTCATGAATGGGTGAAACACGGTACCTGCTCCGAGTCTGTCCTTGATCAACACAGCTACTTCGGAACAGCTCTCAGCTTAAGGCAACAAACCAAACTCCTTCAAAGTCTTAAAAGTGCAGGTAATCCATGAATTCAACACCTCTCAAAATCACATTTTTCAAGTTACTTTTTCTTGCCAAATACATTGCAGTATTTATTCTAACAGTACTTCTCGGAAAAACAAAACAAATATGGATGTGGCAGGAATCAATCCAGATGGAGGATCTTATAGCCTGGCGAACATCAAAGATGCTATAAAACGAGGAACTGGGTACACGCCATGGATAGAGTGCAACCAAGACTCGTCAGGGAACAGCCAGCTTTATCAGGTGTATTTGTGCGTGGACAGTTCGGGGTCAAACCTCATAGAATGCCCTGTGTTTCCTAATGGGAAATGTGGGTCACAGATTGAATTTCCTACCTTTTAGACTCTGATGATATATATCCAAACCAAACCATTTGTATTTCCTTAATTTGCTCGTTTTACTACTATATCAACTTACCCTTATCATATAGGGGTAGGGCCCGTGATTACATTGACCCCACAGATTAATCATATCTGCTTGTGCCCGTAATGTAATTTCAGAAATCAGAATTATGCTTTAATTCCCCATATATAATATATAAAAACAAAAATATATTTATCCAGCCTTCTTCTACTGTTTCTAACAGTTTCAACTTTCAAGAAAAACAAAAATGATGTTGCAGCCAGACAGCTGGAACAAATCCCAGAGTGGTTGGTTCTTACAGCTTGGAGAGCATTAAAGATGCTGTAAAGAGGAGGAAACTGGGTGTACTAGTATATGAACTAGAGAGTATAAAATCAGGCAAACAGCCAGTTTCTAATCCACCTATCTGGGATTCTGGGGCCTTGATGATGACATAAATCAGACCTTTGCTTCCATTTGGGTCGATGGTCTGCCCCTTCCTTTTTATTGATCAGAAATGGAAATTCATTTCTAGAAATTAAAGAAAGAACTAAGCACAAATAGTCATCACAGATCCATATCTGCTCTTTCTCGCAATATGACAAATTGTGAAATAAATTTCATTTTTTCTTTAAAAACAAAGACCAGGAAGTTCATTTAGGCAAATGCTATCAGGAGTAAACAAAATATTGACAGAAAGAAATAAAAAGGGCCAGAATTTGTTATTTGTAAAGTTAATCACGCAATCTAGAGGACAATGGATTGAGTTTGGATGTCAGAAGCAAAGAAAAAAAAAGTGAGAAACATGATTTTCATTTATATCAATGACTGAAACCCGAGCAAGAGATTAGCTTTTTAGAGCTTAAAATCCGGCTGATGCATATTGGTTCTTGAGTTGGCATATGGTTTTGGACGCTGCTTCCTTGGTTTTTTTTTTTTTTTGAATTTTTCATCCAGAGAAAAAAAGTTCCCTTCATCAAACAAACCAACTACTTTCAAAAACGATTGAAATTGCATGTGGGTTATCAAACTGTTGACATGCACGCACGGGGGCTACCCTAACAGCCCAAATTATTTCGTCCCACTAATTTAATTATAAAGTTAATAAATTAAGCACCAAGTTAGTAATTAAACAGGTCCATAAAACCTAATAAGATAAGAACGAAACCTTTTAGCTCTTACCATTTTCTCGCATTTCAATCCAAATCCAGCCCAAAACCCGATAGGTGCACATATATAGCTAAGTTTCCTTTTGAGTTAGAACAGCCTTAATTTATTACCAAGGGGCTTGATGATACTTCTTCAAGAAGGAATCATCAACAACCGATAAAAAACATCTCTTGTAATAAACATTTTTTTATAAAATATGTTTGGCAACAAATTTTTTTTTTTGATATCTAAGAGAACAGTAAGATATTATCAATATAAATTAAGATATTATTAAAGATTAGAGCAAATATCTTTGTCATTATTTTTTGAAACAGAATAACTTTTAATCTAAAAAGTATTACTGTTTACTGAAAATGATGTTGAAAAATATAAAAAATTATTTTGTATCTATCCTCTGAATGTATATCTAGTTAACATTAACTTGCTTTTTTCACATTATAATGATGCTGTTTTTGTCAAAATAAAAGCAGCAGACAAAATTTCTAGACATGTTCATATTTTAAAACGGATCTCAAATGAAAAATTTGTCACTCTTCTTCCAAAAACATGAACGATAAGTTATCAACATATTTGAAAACAAGATGAACCAGGCTTCCTGACTAGATCAAGAAAACAAATCAAATCTAAATGGGAAATTAAAAAAAAAAAAAAACCTAAGACTTGGAAGACGGGGCAAGCGAGATCGTGCAAAAAAACAATATTGTAGATAATCTTAAGACAGGCAAAAAATGCATTAAACTAATCACAACATGACAAGCAAATGTTGTCCCTCGAATGTTTTGTCCTAAACCTACGCTTTTTGCACTATAAATTCATCTACCAAGCAACATTTGACAGAGCTGTCAAAGTTGTCAGTACTTTGTGTGAGAGAAAAATCATCAAGAACATCTGAAAACATGAAACTCAACTCTTTGTCATCAAGCTTTTGATACTACAATACCTATCAGTTCTTTGTCTTTCACAAGATTTTGATTTCTTCTACTTTGTTCAGCAGGTAAGTGATTGTGAGGTTAATTTGTTTAGGATATATATGATCAGATATCATTCTTTTCATCATGAATTGATCATAAATACAGTGGCCGGGAGCATATTGCGATACAAAATGGAATAGTTGTTGCTACCCCAAGACAGGAAAGCCTGCGGAAGATTTTGGCATCCATGGACTCTGGCCTAATTACAAGAACGGGGGCTACCCTTCCAATTGTGATCCCGACAGTCGTTTCGACAAATCTGAGGTACTATATATATATATATATTTACGTTACGAACATTATCTGAAAAGATGATCAAAATTGGTTTATTAGGTTGAAGAAAGTGATACAGGTTAATTTCGTCTAGAGGTAAACCTAATGGTTTTAGAGTTTGGTCGCTTACTTAAATGAGACTCGAAAAATACACGAAGACTATAAATTGATGAGACAACCATAAGCAAGATAGAGTTGTTGGTGCCATATGGAAAGACTTTTCTCCTAAGAGCAGTTTTAGGCTTTTAGCCATCCACGCTCAGAAATTGAGAAAAGAGCAAAATTTATGTTTCCACTTTCCAAATCTCCTTAGAGCAAGGGCTGGAGGGGGAAAAATGTGAGCCCTGAGCCCTTCTTTTTTCTCTTTCTCTAGGAGGGATGGGTGCATATGTCTGCTGCCTGTCTTGGGTGGGACAAATTTTATCTTTACGGTTAAACTAAATTTCTTAATTTGGCAGATTTTGGGACAACTTTTATATAAAGGCATTGATGCTGCCATCAGATTATTACTATAGTAAGTAAAGCTTCAGATCCGCCTATGATGACCAGATCAGATTAGATTAATGCTTTAAGAGGAAATTTCCTCTTTAATCCATTCTTTACTCACAAGACAACAGCTACAAATACGCATTTGGTCACCTTCCAAGTTGCTGGACTTTTCCTGGGACCTCCCAACATGTTGTGCTTCGATTTGGTGAAATGCCTTTCGTAGCTTAAATGAAGCTACTTGCTGCTAAATTACCAATTATTTATATTCTTTCAACATTGTTTAACCACTAGCTGCCTGTACAAGATTTCGTTGTAATGGGCAATTATCATTTGACCAGAGATTCCAAGGAATGTGCAATTATCATTTCATTGTTAATTAGCTAAGATCATGAACTTAATTTATTAACAATACTGTCTTTCCCATCCTGGATATAGTTTTCAGACCTGATTGGCACTCTGGAAAAGGAATGGCCGACATTTCCCTGTCCTAGCAAGATGGAATTAAGTTCTGGACGCATGAATGGGTCAAACATGGGACATGCTCAGAATCTGAACTCGACCAACGTGAGTACTTTGAAGCAGCTATCAAATTAAAAGCAAAGGCTAACCTCCTACAAGCTCTGACAAATGCAGGTACCTCAAATTCATTTTTTGAACTAGAGATTAGAGCTTTGGAAATAGTTGAGCTGTTCTAACAAGTTTCCTGTTTCCTCTGGGTATAAAATTTTGTTTTTCAGGAATCAAACCAAACGATGAATTCTATGAATTGCAGGCCATTAACGATGCTATAAAAGAAGCTGTTGGTTTTGCCTCTGGCATAGAATGCAATATGGATTCATCTCGTAACAGCCAGCTTTATCAGGTTTACTTGTGTGTGGACACTACGGGGTCAGATTTCATCGAATGCCCTTTGCTACCAAGGTTTAAACGTGGTTCACGCATCCAGTTTCCCAAGTTTTAGTCGAACAATTCCATTTTCTTAATCAATTTATTCAGCAATGATTTCATCCTTTTTTTTTTATGGTAAATTAATCTATGTTTTCGGAAATAAAAGAGTTGTGCATAATTTTAAATGGCTGAAGTTCCAGATTCTTGATAGAATTAGAGTTTCACTAGAGATTATCAAGGATCAATGTCAGGGATCTCTTGCAATGCAGTTTAGTCATTGAACCCACAAAAGAAAGGAGTTAATAATAATAATAATAATAATAATAAGCTATGTTCCTTTCACATTAACTAAGCTATGTCCTTGCGTTATTGAATTTCCTTAATCTTTGTTTACATTTGACGCTATTTTCCATGATTGCCATCAAATGCCAAACGGACCACTCTACTCTTCTTTTAATTCCGTTGGTTACTTTTTTATTTTGGATTATGGAAAATCGTTGTTTCCTTATAGAACTTATCTCTTCAACAGACAGAAAAGACAGAAGTTGTTTGTGCAAAGTTTGTCATGACGACGAATGATGATGCATTTGTTTGCGTGGACAAAAGTAATGGCTTCGATAAATGAGACTCGTGGATTGCTCTATGGACTCATTATTCAGATTCCCAACGTCATCGCAGTACAGATAGCAAGTGGTTTATTAGTCCTGAGGCAATTCTTCTCTCAATTTCTCCAAATGTTTCAACTACATTGACTTGCTGCAATGTCAGTGGATAATGAATCATAAGCTCTAAAATTTTGCTTGTTATGAGCAATGATTGGAAAAGAGCAGCTGTGTTAGTTTTTGTTGGTTTGGATTAGCTCCATGTTAGGTTTGTTCACTACTAAATTTATGCAATCATGGGAAGTTACTGGAATAGGATTTTTTCATTCCTTCTCTTGTGTGCATAATTCTATCTTGTATAACTGATGTTTAAGCTAGAAGATGTGGCAATGGATATATGGATCGCAGATATGAAGAAAGAAGGTTTAGAAGTTGGGTATGTTATTGCTCAATATCAAGGTCCAAGAGAGATGATGTGTTTGTGGCAGAAACTCCATGAGACAAAAAGAGCTACATGCTGTGGTGATCCATCAGCACAGGCAGAGGCTCGAGGAATACAATGGTTTTTAGGTGCTTTTACAGTCAAATATTCACATTTACATTTCATCACCTTGCTGATTTGATCCATCTGGGTGAGAAAGTTCAAATAAAGGGTTTATATTTTTCGTTCCTTTTTTTTTTTTGGTGGATGGGATTAGTAATTATTGTTGTATAATTAGCGATATTTTTCTAATGCATATTTGTAGTCAACATTTTTGTTGAGGTCAAATAAAATTCTAAGTAGAAAATGGTAGATGCTCTTGTATAGAGAAGCCATAGCGGTAGGAAATTGCAGGTTTTTACCCAAGTCTGATCTGATGCACACTCCTTTAGTACCTTTCTTTGTATTTTTATTGTATTTGTTTCATGGTGCTAGATTTTTTTTTGTCTAACTCTACAACCATTCCACTAATTTAAAATCTGTATCATTCAAGAAGAATCTTTGCAAAATTCAAAAATTGCTTCTCAAACAAAAAATGAAAAATCCTTTTAATTTGTCAAAGGTAAATATCACAAGAGTATGTGGACAACAAGACGAGTGGGCATGAAAACATAGTTTGGCACAAGCATATCGCTGGCATTGAAATCTACTCCTCGTCCTAAAAAATATCTTCTCTTAACTGACAATGACTTTGCTTTGTTTGGTGTGAAGGGATAAAATCAGTCATGTCAATGTTAAAGTCATAACTGCTCACTGAACATGCTCGTAATAGATATTGGTACAGTTTTTGCATAATCAACATTCCAGATCCTTCCACACTTTCACCAGTTCAATTCTGTGAGCTCCCTACTCTACCTCCACCAACTTCCTTGTTAGATCTCCCAGACCCATCGTTTGTTTTCATTCTCTGATTCATTCTTCTACTTGGAAGATTTTTCCTTTCTCTTCTTCAAGTTCATTTCTTTCGCCAAAGTCTTTCTTATTGTCCTCAAATTTTAAGTTTCCATGGCTTCTGAAACTGAAGCACCTGAAATTTCTTCTTTGTTTGAAAGATTCTTGAGGCAAAGAGACCTCCATTTGTTTCTACCTTTTATCTTGGGATTCTCCAACAACAACAACAGCAATAACAATATTTCAAGAGAAAACCCTGAAGAACCAGATCAAGAAACATCCCAGGAAACAACTTCCCTGCGTGAAAAAATAATACTTATCAACCCATTCACTCAAGGCATGGTCGTGATCGAAGGAGCTTCAAATTTGGAAGCTTTGCTTCTTGGCTTGGCTAACAAGGATGGCCAGCCACCTGCTTCGAAAGCATCGATAGAAGCCATGCCAAGCGTGGAAATTGGTGAAAGTGAAGATGGTGAGTGTGTGGTTTGCTTGGAAGAGTGGAAGCCCGGTGAGGTGGCAAAGGAGATGCCTTGCAAGCACAAGTTTCATGATGAGTGTATAAGGAAGTGGCTTGGACTTCATGGGTCATGCCCTGTTTGCAGGTATAAGATGCCTGTTGAAGAAGAGATAGGCAAGAAGAGAGATGAGGAGAGGAGAAGATCTGCCAGGGAGATTTGGGTTAGTTTTTCTTTTAATAGTGGTAGGAGAAGTGGGGATTCCAATCAAGTTCCTTCAACTGATTCCAATAACGTCTCCTCTTTAAGTCCTAGGCCTTATGATCATGAAATGGAGGGTTAGAAGAGTTTTATAAGATTTTATTTTCTTTTTGTTGCCCTTCATTTCAATTTTCTTTTTCTTTTTTTTTTTTAATTTCATCTTTGTGGGAAAATTATGTACTTAGAGACACTTGTCTTTCTTAAGATGAGTTTAAATAAATTATTAAATTTGGTTAGTTAGAACAATCCCTTGCAAATTTATTCTTACATAAAACTAGTAGGTTCTTTCTTGCATCTTAGAATATTCTAGGAAAAATAATGTGATTCATGGTGATTGTGTTAAAAAAGAAGCACCCTCAATAGCATGATAATTAATTTTATTTAGTTATGTATGAATTTGTTGTCAGCATACAAATGTAGAGTTGTCAAGGGTTTTGTTGGGTATCGAGTGAAGAAGAAATATCTTCCCTTGCTCTCAGGATTTTGATCCCCTGATACCTTCCAAGCATTAGGTGGGTCGTCATTGGATTTGTGCCTGGTGATTCCGGGAAAGTTGAGCCATCCACAATTCTCAATCCCTTAAATCTATAAACCTTATAATCATTGTCCACAACCAATCCAACTGTGCAACCTCCATGGCCCATGGTAGTGGAAGTAGGTCTTCACATTCTCTTTGCTGAATTCTCTTAGCTCATCGGTGCTAGTCATCAAGTTATTTTGATATTTCATTGAAACTTATGCTACTTGTTCAAGCAAATTTACCATATTTGCAGTACTCCGTGTCTTTTTCTTCTGCTTCACTTTAAGGGTTTTGCCCAAGGTTATAGTACTGTTTAATTTACCATCTGTACTGGAAATGTAGTTTTGGCAGCTACTGGCATTCTTGTTTCATTGAAGCTAGTAGGCATAATTCCTCCAATTATGAATTTGAAGTCTTTCGCAATCCCGAAAACTTGAGGTTGCTCTGGCTGCCGATTTCGTGGATCTGTGTCTACCAAAACAGCAATGCAAGGATTATCTTTCATCCTTTTTTCAACTCCTTTCAAGTTGAGCTCATGTAGGATGTTGAAGTTCTTGAGGCGTATATGGGGTCCGATGCCACTTAATAATAGAAATTCTTGGGTTGATTGAGGTAGGCTTCATATGTCTGATATGTGCTGCCATCACTCTTTACGAAACCTTATGCCATGGACTATTGTCTTAGTTGCATTGCCTGCACGTATTTAAAACAGTCAGATAAGCTTCAATAATTCATTTCTAAGTTAGAACATTTCTGTACTCGCAATAGTTGAAGGCAATGATAGCCCTATATCTATGTTTGAATAACTATGATTTTTGTAACACTTCAATCTTATATTGGGATAATTTAAAGTTTTATTATGATATATATATAGAAAGTTAAACTCAAATTTGTGAGATATTTTTTGTGAGATAAAACAGTGAGATCTTTAAGTTAAAGTAGATAATATTTCGTAAGTTGAGTGCAAGTCTTCACAAATGATATCAAAATGGTTATCAATTGGACGGGAGTTAAGTGCTACATTATGCTATACGATGAGAACTACCTCTAGAATCCTAACCTCTAGATGCTCTTGTGATCTGTGTGTGTTTTGTGTTGGGTAAGAACTACATCTAAAATCCCAACGTCTGGTATGGTCTTATGATTTGTGTGTGCTTTGTGTTGGGTGTTTTGGGCTTGCCCAATGTTTAGTGTGATTCAATAGATTTGTGTCCTTTGTGTTGAGCTTGACGAGGATCTTAAGCTTTAACAATAAAAGTTTGTAACATCCAAATCCCACATCGGTGTGTTGGTTGTGATTTGTGTGAGCTTTATATTGGGCTTGGGAGTCACCTCTAAAATTTTACGAGAAGTAAGTGCTATACCGTAAGAACTACCTCTAGAATCCTAATATCTGATATGATTTTGTGCTTTGTGTTAAGTTTGTCTAATATTTGGTGTGATTTGATGGATTACACGGTGAGAACTACCTCTAAAATCCTAACGTTTAGTATGGTTTTGTGATTTGTGTGCTTTGTGTTAGACTTGCTCAATGTTTGGTGTGATTCGATGGATTACACGGTAAGAATTACCTTTAAAATCTCAACGTCTAGTATGATTTTGTGAGTTATGTGTACTTTGTGTTAAGCTTGTCTAATGTTTGAGCTTGAGAGGCATCTCTAGAATATTGCGAAAGTTAAATATTATACAGTGAGAATTATTTCTTGAATTTCAACGCCTAGTATGGTTTTGTATTTTATGTTGAGTTTGTCTAATATTTGGTGTGATTAGACGAATTAAACGATGAGAACTATCTCTAGAATCTCAACGTTTAGTATGATCTTATGATCTATGTATTTTATGTTAGGCTTGCTCAAGTTTGGTGTGATTCAATGAATTTTTGTGCTTTGTGTTGAATTTGACAAAAACCTTAAGCTTTAACAAAAGAAGTTTGTAACGCCCAAATACCATATCGATGAAGTTTGTAACATTTTAATCCCATATTGGTGTGTTGGGTATATGATATTGTGATTTGTGTGTTTTGTGTTGAGTCGGGAAGTCACCTTTAGAATCTTATGAGAATTAAGTGTTTTATTGAGCACTATTTTTAGAATCTCAACATTTAATATGATTTTGTGATCTATGTAATTTAGTGTGATGCAATAGATATGTGAGCTTTGTGTTAGGTTTGATAAATATTTCAAGTTTTAATAAAAAGAGTTTATAACATCACAATCTTACATTAAAAGATTTTGAGAAATTAAATATGTTATAATATTTAAGTAAATTTTTTTGGAAGATAAAATCGTAAAATTTTTATATCAAAGTAAACAATATCACAAATTGAGGGTGAATCTCCGTAATTTTCATTTAAAATTTACTTGCATTTAAAAGAAGTACAATATTTTTGGGCCCTCGGGAGGTCAGCTGAGGCGTGTTTTATGGCCCGTGCATCAAATATACTTGCACCAATTTTTGTTCCTTCTACGTGTTCTAAACTAAAGCTGTTATAAGGTAGAATTCCAGCTTCAAGAAGGCCAAATTCAATAACAGTCTGCCGTGGTGTCAATTCAGGCATGCGGCCCATTTTAGATTCCACCCATGAACCAACTCCTTATCCCAGCCAGCCTTGTTGACAAAATCCTCACTAGCTCGATTGTAAAGCCCCCCATTTATAGCCGAAGATCCACCCATTACTCTTCCTCTGCAGTTCCTAACACCATCTGTGGATATAAAGTCTTGTGCTACTGATGAATATTCATTAGTCTGAATCAATAAGAAACAATAAAACCTTTCATCCATCACCAAGGGATTACCATGAGGTGATCCACCTCGTTCTACCAATAGCACTGAGAATTTCGCAGACACGGTTGCTGACGAGGCAGCCAGGGGTGCCTCCGCCTGCAACATCCAAGGTCAAATAAGGAAGTTGTCGTGCAAAGAAGAGGTTAGTAATAAAAGATACACCCCTTTGGGCGGTGGCATATTTTGAGGCTTTAAGTGAAAACACAATGACAAGTCAATAAGCAAGAAGATAAATGCTTTGAGAAGCCTGTCATGGCGAATAGTTTCTTGAAAGTATAACTTTTTATGCTTCCATTTCTCAACTCTGGCTTAAGGACTAGTGGACAATTTTTTTATTGGCATCATTCATTTTCAAAGTTTTAGAGAGAGAGAATAAAGGAAGAGTTGTCTTTGCAAAATATACATTATACCTTCTTCTGATATCAATACATATAACAATATACATAGTTTATGAACAAAAGATTGGTTCTAAATAATCAGGTTCGCTGCTTACATATATTACTAAAAACCACGCAGCATAAAAGTTCCAAACCATGCCCACTGAGCTGATCTATTCCCTGCAGTTCAAGTCTATTGCTTTTGGAACTGATTCGATGTCACTATGGCATTGGCTGTTGAGATCAAATGAACCCAACAATCCAGACTTTCTCAATCGACTACCAGTCTCCTCCTCAGGGGGCTCTAATCTTTTAGCTAGTGGTTGCTCAACACTTGTACCTTCAGAAATGTTACTCCCATTTCTTTTCTTTCCATTAGCTTGATTGCTTGAACCACTAATCCAGAGCTTCTTTTCTGGGTGAATGTCCGTTAAGGAAAGTTCAACTGAAGTATTAGACTTCCGGGTACAAATATTCTCATCTTTTGGTGGTTCCTTGTCCTTTTGCCTAGAGCTCTCAGAAGATGTCAATGAGCTCTCCATGGAACATATAGCACCTCTCATTGTCTTTCTTTCTATTTGTTTTAAGCTTGAACCTCCTCCTTCTGTCAATTCTGAAAATGAAGAACTTGTGCAGCCAGTGTTAACAATTGAGACTAGTTGAGAGAGTTCAGCTACACCGAGTGAAGAGGAGCTATACCCAGCTGCAGCCAGTGTTTCTTGTGCTTTCTTTAATACTGATTGTAGGTACTTCCCTTGAGCTTCAATTCTTAGCTGTAAATGTCTCTGGACCTGTAAATGGAAAAAAAAAATAGCCTGATTGATATGTATTGATGCAACTGAAAATCAGCTATTTAAATTGGGAATTGGTTTAATAGGTCATACTTCAATCTGTTCATGAAGTTTTCTCTGTACTTTCATCTGCATTTGGAGAGCCTGAGCTATCTGCAAGCTTCTAATGAACACAACAATTATACAGTCAACTCAATCTGTTTTATTATCATTTCCATCCAAAATTTAATCAAAAGATCCATGTGTAACTATTACTCATTCATCTGTTTGTGAGTTCCGTCACTTATCTCTCTACTGAAATTCCCATTACTGCTTTGTCTCTCTGTGTAATCTGTATCACAAGAATGAAAGGGAAGTAGAAAAAAATATTATATTCCTATACAACTCAATATATGAATTTAAATGCAACAAGCAATGAAATTTTAATCTCACCATCTTGTTTATTGCCAAGGCAGATTTCTGTCTGTTGGCTTTTCCCCAGCCTGTATTTCTGCACGAAGAAGATAGATTTAAAGCTTGTTTTCTTTCCTATTTGGTTAGAAAAAGAAAATTGAAAGTGTGATTAGGCAATGAAGAGTAATTACCTGTAAATGGCTTTTAAGATGATACAAAGTGAGTCCTGCAATTCCCATCACCCTCATCAGACTCTTTGGTGTTGCTTCTGTCCAGAAATAAACACAAAGAAAAATGAACAATTCTTATACATACAAATAACAAGATGATTAGACAAGATGATCATTACTATTAAGGTTATCTAAAAGTATACTCAACTGTCTGCCCCTCCAAGTTGATTGACAGCTTCAACAAATCTTTGATGAAGTTCAGGAGTCCATTTTAGCCTAGGCTTTGCATCAGTTGACATAATCAAATTCATGTTTTGATTTTGCATATTTTGCAGACCCATGTTTTTTGTGTTGTGTAAGAGAGACAGGCAGAGGGGGCAGAGAAATGAAACTCATGTGTGGGTTTTGATCCCTTTTTAGGAGTTATGCTTTCAATATGCAGCAGCTGTAGTTCTCTTTATAATTTTGGAGTTGTTGGGCTGTCCTATGATCTCACTCCATATCTGGAAGAATAGGTGGGGTTGTATTGCTGAGGGAATATATGGCATGAGCTGCGGCTCTTCCTTTCTCTCATCCCCCATTTCATACTAACTTTTCTCGTTTTGTTTTTTTTTTATTTTTTCTTCTTTCTTCTACTTGAAAGGGGGTGGATGGAGAGAATCTCTGATGCAGCAAAAACAGAATAAGCAACACAGTTCAATTTGAGTCTCAAAAGGAGAGAAAAGAGGAAAAGTGCATGGTTTGTTTTTATCTTGCTGGTTTCCCATTCCTCCCTCTGTGATGCCATTCCTTTATCTTCCTGCTTGATTCCCCTGCAGGGTTAGGTAGCCCCACCATGATGAATAATGGATGCAACTTTCCTAACACTATGAGAAGCTTTCAAGGAAAATTATATAGTGAGAAAATTAAATTGACAGGAAGGCTATAATGGATACTAATTTCCTTTTGATGATTGAAAGGGCAAACCAAATGAGCAATGGCCCTTTGTTTCTTTTAATTTTTCTTTCTCCTTTTTGCCTTTGTTTTTATATTTTCTTTTAATTATAGTGTGACTGACAGATTCTTTTTGTTCTTAATATGAATGAAGGACTCAAAGAACCTAATATTAGATTTTTGGACCCAGCTGACCCCATTTTTCTTATAAAGAAAGTACTCCAGAAAAAGTGAATCGAGTCAGGCCAACTTATAGCTAACAGAACACAACTGAGGTGAAAATAACCCCATAGTAAAAATTCTTCCCTGGAAACTGAACCAAAGGAAGACACAATTCTGTGAGATTATCCCACTACAGGAGAATCTCAGGTCCTTGGTTTTTTATAAAGACAGTCATTAGGGGCTGACAGCTTTACATGTGACTCCATTTGCAACTTTGAGTTTTACCTTCTCAAACATCTACCAACACCATCCAAGTGGCATCTGAAGTAAAATTCAATATATCAGATCAGGTGTAGGCCAGGCAAGCAGTCCTAATAACTTCTTGACATAATCTTTTGGGACAGTAGTTTTCTATATACTGAGTTGATTGGTTTTATCCCCAATCTTTTGCACCAGGTTTTGCTTCCTTTCTCCCCTGATGATCAGACTAAAACAAAAAGTGGGAAAGGGGTTATTCCAGGTGACTGCACAAGATGCAACTTTAACAGACCTGAAGTTACCCTCATGTTGTGGTAAGCTAAATTATCGTAAATCTAAATTTTGGACAAAGACTCCATTATTATTACACAATGCTAAACTTGAATCAGAGTATCCTGAAGTGAGGGTATAAAGTAAGAGAGCTAGCATCCCATGGCACATGTCACACAAGACAAAACCCTCCCTTTTCTCTCTCTGGCAAATGCAAACACAAGGAAATGACAAAAAGCTCCCCATAGTTTATTGATGCACGCTTTATCCTAGTATGAAAGCAATCAACAGGACTCATTCTGCTAAAAGTCCTATAAAGAAACATATTCCAAAGAGAATGCTAGCTTTGAATCTGTAGACTGTAATCCATATCCAAGCAGACCAGAAAGAAAAGAAATTTCATACAAAAAAAAAAAGGAAAGATAAAGGGAAGCCACAATGGCCAACAAGAAATCATAAAAGTCAATTGAATCAGATTAATCTTCTGATTTCTTGGGCTGCGTTCAAGAGTTAAATTACTGGAATAAAAACCAATGATTGAACTGCAAAGTATTGCCATCTCAGTGCCATACGTTCAGTTGGTCTGCTAAATCGACAAGCTATTTTCCAGGATTCAAAGGTAAGGAAGATTAGATGCTAAGTGTTATTATATTCAGGCAACCAGAAAAGCAATAGGCTGCTTCAATACACACCTTTATTAATGAAAGATCACCAGCAGTTGACTGAATATAATTCAGTGAGCGTAGAGTGGAAGGTCCATCAACCCCTATTGGTCCGAGTGACAAGAAGCAAGGTTCCCTTAAACAAGATCTTGGTTTCGAATCTTGTGAATGAAAAAAATAGGCGCTGGGAGAGTTTGCCCTCTATGGGGTCTGACTGACCCAGCTCGATTCCGGAATAGTCAGGACCAAAATGATTACCGGATAGAGTTGAAGGTCCACTAATCAGATTGTTAGGATCATCATTCTGTTCAACAAAAAATTTAACAATGAGATTCACGTGGTCGTCCATCTTGACACAAAGAGGGGTTCTTCCTGAATAAGCATCCGAATGATAATTCCTCAGTGGCAAGCTCGTAGTTCACATTCAAAGAAAGTGTTAGAAGATGTGTTTAGGACTACTAATGTGGATTCATTGAATGTTTCATGTTGTTCCTATTTTTCTGGTGTTGGTTATTTTTTTGTTATTCATGCTGGTGGTCATGGCTTAATCTTAGGATTATGATTTTTGTGGGTAGTTATTAATTAGGCTTTAAATTGTAATGTTTCTGATGTTAAGAAATGCAACAGTGAGTAAAGTTTTCTTTGCTTCAAAAATAACAACATTTGGTATCAGAGCTTTCTTCTTAAAGGATCTGTGTGTGAAATTGACGCGTCATGGAAGCTGAAGTCAGTTTCTCCGCAATTGCTCCGACGGTGTTCGACGGAGACAACTACCAGATTTGGGCAGTACGTATGGAGACATACTTGGAAGCTTTAGATCTTTGGGAAGCAGTGGAAGAACACTATGAAATTCCTGCACTTTCAAACAATCTCACCATGGCACAGATTAAAGCACAGAAAGAAAAGAAGACAAAGAAATCAAAGGCAAAGGCCTGCTTGTTTGCTGCAGTCTCATCTATCATCTTCACTCGTATCATGTCTCTGAAGTCAGCAAAAGAGATATGGGATTATCTCAAGAATGAATATGAAGGAGATGAAAGAATTAAAGGGATGCAAGTCCTTAACTTGATTAAGGAATTTGAACTTCAAAGAATGAAGGACTTCGAGACGATTAAAGATTACTCCGATAAGCTTCTGAGTATCGCAAACAAAGTAAGGCTTCTTGGATCTGAATTTACTGACTCAAGAATTGTAGAAAAAATTCTTGTTACAGTACCTGAAAGATATGAAGCAACCATCACTACCTTGGAGAATACAAAAAATCTATCAAAAATTTCCTTAACAGTGCTTAACGCTTTGCAAGCACAAGAACAAAGAAGACTGATGATGGAAGATACAACAATTGAAGGAGCTTTGGCAGTCAAGCATCAAAATGTGGCCAAAAGCAAAAGAAAGAAGAAAAAAGATTTTGAAGGAAATGGGGCAAGTACTGCATCAGCCAATGCAAAAGGAAAGAATGAAAATTAGAAGAAATCTTATTCACCTTGCCAACATTGTGGAAAAAAGGGTTATCCTCCATTTAGATGCTGGAGAAGACCTGATGCTAAATGCACTAAATGTAATCAGATGAGGCATAAGGCTGTTATCTGTAAAAATAAAATTCTGCAACATGGTGAAGATGCAAAGATTGTTGATCAAGAGGAGGAAGATCACCTGTTCGTAGCTACATGTTTTTTCGGCATCGAATCAAGTGAGAGTTGGCTTATAGATAGTGGTTGTACTAACCACATGACACATGACAAGGATCTATTCAGGGAACTAAGCAACACAAACTCATCAAAAGTTCGAGTTGGTAATGGCAAGTACATAACTGTGAAAGGAAAAGGAACAGTTATAATTTCAACTTGTTCAGGTACAAAGTTCATTTTTTACGTATTATATGTCCTTGAAATTGATCAAAACTTGTTAAGTGTTAGACAACTAATTGAAAAGGGTTATAAAGTTGTGTTCGAAGATAAAGGTTGCTTGATTAAAAATGCAGTTGGCCAAGATATTTTCAAAGTAAAAATGAAAGGGAAAAGCTTTGCTCTAAATCTATTGGAGGAAGAGCAAACTGTTTTCTCAATAAAAAAAAATATCACTGAAGTATGGCACAAGAGGCTCGGGCACTATCATCATCAGGGGCTGCTGCATATGAAATCTAAGAAGATGGTGAATAATTTTCCAGAACTTGATGATCATATTCCAAACTGCAAAGCATGTCAGTTTGGAAAGCAAAGTAGGAAACCATTTCTAAAGGCAACATGAAGAGCATCAAACAAGTTACAATTAATTCATACTGACATTGCAGGCCCACAAAAAACACCTTCTCTGAAATGTAGTCTTTATTATGTTGCATTCATTGATGATTTCACCCGTATGTGTTGGATCTTCTTTTTAAAGTGCAAGTCAGAGGTGGCTCAAATCTTCTGGAACTTTAAAGCCAGAGTTAAGAACGAGAGTGGCTGTAGAATTCAAACTCTCAGATCAGACAATGACAAAGAGTACACCTCTGAAGCATTCACTCATTTTTGTGAAGAGGTAAGCATCCAACATCAATTAACTGCTCCATTCACTCCATAACAAAATGGAGTAAGTGAGAGAAGGAATAGATTCATATTGGAGATGACACGATGTATGCTACATGAGAAGAACCTGCCAAAGTAATTTTAGGTTGAAGCAGTAAATACTATTATTTTTTTGTAAAACAGGCTTCCCACAAGAGCAGTGAAAGATCAAACACCCTTTGAGGCATGGTATAGTTATAAACTATCTCTGAATTTTCTTAAAATATTTGGATGTTTGTGCTTCACTTATGTTCCATAGACCAAGAAAGATAAATTAGATAAAAGAGCGCTTTCAGACATCTTCATTGGCTACAGCTCAGTTGTAAAAGCTTATAAAGTTTTCCAGCCACAAACTGGAAAAATTATTATAAGCAGGGATGTGCACTTTATGAAAGATGAAGAGTGGAACTGGGATGATGCAAAAAAGATGGATCAACCTTAAAAGAGCACAAGCTCAAGTTTCCTAGCATTGGAGACTGGGAGAATGAAATAGTGGATGACAGTCCTATCAGAGGTACAATACTACTTTTTGATGTTTATCAAAGATGTAATATTACTGTGTGTGAACCTACAAATTATGAAGAGGCCAAGACGGATCAAAATTTGCAATGAAGGAGGAGCTATTCATGATTAAAAAGAATGAAACATGGGAGTTGATTGATCGACCCCAAAACAAAAAAGTAATTGGAGTCAAATGGATGTACAGAACCAAGCTTAATGCTGATGGCTCAATCAACAAGTATAAAGCTAGACTCGTGGTCAAAAGATATGCTCAAATACTCGGTATGGACTACTCAGATATCTTCGCACCAATCACTAGACTTGACACTATCAGGCTTTTACTCGTCGTTGCAGCACAAAAAAATTAGAAAGTGCACCAATTAGATATCAAGTCAGCATTCTTGAATGGTTTTCTGCAAGAGGAGATTTATGTAAAACAACCAGAGGGCTATGTCAAGAAAAGAGAAGAAGACAAAGTTTATCTTCTTAAAAAGGTACTTTACGGATTGAAGCAAGCTCTAAGAGCTTGGTACAGCAGGATTGATAAACATTTACAGAACTTGAGATTTGTCAAAAGCTTATCTGAATCAACATTATATGTCAAGCACAATGGAGCTGACATTCTTATCATCTCACT